CCCCCCCCACCAAAAAAAAAAAAAAGATCATCTACAGAAGGAAAATGCCAGCTTCTCTCCCTTCCTCCTCCCATCCCCTCTCTTTGAGACCGGGGCTCACCAGGTAGCCCAGACTGGCCTCAAACTCAAGATCCTCCTGCCTCAGCCTCCCAGGTGCTTGGATGGCCAGTGTGTACCTCCACACCTGGCTCAAAAAAAACTGGCACTTTGCCTAGAGAAACCTGGTGAATACCACCTTAAACAAGTGAGCAAAGTTAACATCTGACTAACAGGACAAACTGCAACCAGGCCTCTGGACCCCATGTTCTGAGGAGGCTGGGCCTCACTTCTTTGGCATTCCTGCCAGGAGTGCACAGCCTGAATCCAATCAAGGGTAAGAGCACACAAACCCAAACTGAGGGACACGCCACCAAACTAGTGTCTGGATCGCCACAGTGCCTACATTATGAGACACAGAGGCAGACTGAACACTGGAGCAGAAGATGAGAAGGGCCATGCCAAGCAAGCGCACTGTGTGATCCATGCCCTGTGAAGAGTACACAGGAGCTTCCAGTCCTACTTCTGTAAGTTTCTGAAAGCTCAAAGTTATCTCCCAGAGCTCAGAAGGCTGAGGTAGGAAGACTACAGGTTCAAGGCCAGCGTGGTCTATATAACAAAAGTCTGTCTCAAGGAGGCAGGTGCCAGTGGTTCACACCCATAATCCTACCTACTAAGGAGGCTAAGATCAGGAAGCTTATAGTTTGAGACCAGCCTGGGCAAATAGTTTTCAAGACCTCATCTCCAAAATAACCAGAGCAAAATGCACTGGAGGTGTGGCTCAAGCAGCAGAGTGCCTGATTTACAATCATGAAGCCCTGAGTTCAAACCCCAGTCCCACCTAAACAAAAAAACTGTCTCAAAATAACAGCAAAAAAAAAAAAAAAAAAAAAAAAAGTTTAAAATTACTTTAAAACAAAAACTTTAAAGGAACAGAAAAATAGAACTGGCGGGCCAAGAGTAACTTTGAATGCACTTCATCTCAGCAATCCCACCACTAGGAGTTGGGGTAATAGCTGCACACACTCTTGCATTACAGCAGTGGGTAATCCAGCAGAAGGGACTGTGAACGTGTCCTGGTACGCTAAAGACTACTTGGTCACCACTGAAAAGGTTGAAGGTTTGCACATGCAGATACAGGAAGAGCTCGAAAATGAAAATGAATGGAGCACAGAACAATCTGCTAGGTGTGCTTAATTACGGACTATCAGTAGCTCGATTCTCTCCTCACTCCTGACACCAAAATTTCTTACTTTTCAATATGAAAGTCTTTGATAAGCAAACATGGTTGATATCTTAAATTATTTTGGTGTTAAAGTAGGTTGCAATAGTTGACACTACTGATAAATAATTCAACTGTTAAAAAATTACTTCATGGGCTGGAGTGGCACAACTGGTAGAGCACCTGCCTAGCAAGTGTGAGGCCTGAGTTCAAACCCCAGTGCTACCAAAAAAAGAAAGAAAAGGTTAAAGGTTAAAAAAATTACTTCATGAAGAAAATCCATTTATACATAAAAAAAAGGAAAAGAGAGCTCTCTACATGTAAAGCTCTTCTGGAAGAAAACACAGGAGTGTTCACACTTGGGGAATGGTCACTTCTGGAGAGAGAGGCAAGACAGAGACTATGTTCCTGTCATTCTTCTCTGTTAAATTTAAATAAATTCCTATTTCTTATTTTCATCTTTTTTTTTTTTTTTGGCAGTACTGGGGTTTGAACTCAGGGTCTCTCACTTGCTAGGCATGCACTCTACCGCTTGAGCCACTCTGCCAGCCTAATTATTTCTTAAATGTGTTGTATATCTTAGTAATTCTATTTTGCATTACTTATTAGGTCACGTTACATAATTTATAATATAGACTTAATGCACACTAAGCATACAGTTTAACATAAGCAGTTTGATATTTTAAACAGGGTCAGTCCCCATGTCTCCATCTGCCAGGCCCAGACTCAGCTCACCTAGCTTCATCTTCTTAAGTGTGGAATCCGAGTCATCTCGGGGCCGCTTGCGGGCATCCTTGCCACTGGGCATGTTGCGGGCAATTTCAGCTTGAGGCGTGCCCAGGTCCACCAGCAGGGTGGTGATCTGAGCCTGGAACTCCAAGGAGGCGGGGTGCTTGAGTACACTCAACAGGTGCAGCTTGAGGTTCTTGCGCACGCTGCTCACCTGAGATTTGGCCAGTGTTGGGGGTAGGTTGGCTGTGAGGAAAGAGGCAGGAGCTCTGTACTGTGGACAGATCTCTGGGGGTCCTGCTAGTCTCCATTCCCAGCACCAAACTTGGGCAGCAGTCTTGCAGTCATGTCCTAGGGAATTTCCTGGACCCTTTTTCAAGCTGAGGTTTAAAACCCTGGAGAGGCCTCCACAGTGTTAGTCTCTTAAACAGAGAAAACCTCAACCTCCACCTTACTAAGCACAGTCTCAGGCCCCTCCTTCTCTGGTCTGGATTCCAAATGTTTCCCTGGGGATGACCTGTAACTGCTACCTTCTCCACAAACTGCCTATAGAAGTGCTGCCACAGCTCATGCTGTCTCCCTGCCACCAGAAAACTCTCCAGTGCCTGGTGGTCACCTTGATGAGCCAGCTGCCCCTGCTCCAGAGCAAAGGAAGATGCCTGTAATTTTGTCTGCCCAGTGTCTACCACCTATTCCTCTGTCAACACCACTTCCATTCCCCTTTGAGGGAACCACTCTGTCTCCATCCTCTGTCCAAATGTGCATTGAGATGGGGGGTCAGTGAGAACACTGCATTCCCCTGGCCACTGTGATTGGTTCAGAGATAGGCCTACAATCACTGCTCAGCCAATCAGAAACAATGAGCATCAGCCCTTGGACTTTTGCTGGAATGATGGGGAAGGGGACACTCTCTTTTCTCCTGGAGTTGCTAAGTAGATGGAATGGAAGCGAGCTGTGGGGGGCCATCTTTGCTGCCTCAACAAAAGAGTCAGAGAATGAATGAAGCCAACATAGCAAACTAAGAGCCAAGAGATGGAGAGTGACTGATCTATGACTGGCACACAATCTGCCTCAGCCTAGACTTTCCGGTTTTCGTCCAAGCACAAAAGTTATTACCAGCCTCTGGAATATTTGAAAGTACTTCCTAGGTATCACATACACTTCAATACTAAATCTAGCTTCGAAGCAGGTTTCTGTTACACACCAAAGACTCTCATCTGATAAAGAGAAACCTTCCCTGTACCCACAGCTACTGGACTGATGACCAGGGAAGCAATACCAAGCTCACACTTCCTCAAGGGAGGGCCGCCCAGCCAGTGGAGAAGGGCAGGGAAGGGCTCAACCTACCGTGCAGTGTTTCGTAGGCCTGGATCACCTCAGACATGAACATAGGTCTCTGGCGGGCAATATTGGCAAGGGAGCCCAGCGCCGTGGTCAGGTTGATGGAGGAGATGGCAGGGTGCACCATGAACTTGAGCAGCTGCTCCAAGGCCGCCTTGCCTTCTTCCCACAGCACATCTAAAGAGGGAGGAGAGGGAACCAATCAGTGGGGTCCTTTCTCTCAGGCCTATGCAGAGAGCAGCTTTTCTGGCTTAAAGGAAGGCGGGGCCCTGGCAATCAGGCATTTGTGAATGACTGGAAAACAGAAAATTTAGTATTTGATGAGTCCTATGAAACCATTAATGAGCATTAAAATTAAATTCTGAGGACATTCAAAGCATAGGCTTCTAATAGCAAAAGTTACTGACATTATAAACTATGCTGATGCCAAACTTTGAATACAAAAACACACATACACACATATCAACAGAGAACTCAGTGCCACTTGTAACACCATTGTCCTTGATCCAGACCTCATGGTCAAATATTCTGTAAATATTTGAAACAGTAAATAAAATACAACTTAATTATTCTGATTATCAACACAGAATGTTTAACAGAACATGATCTAGCTGGCATGGTGGTACACATCTGTAATCCTAGCACTAGGGAGACTGAAGCAGGAGGGTTACAAGTTTAAGGCCATCCTGGGTAACATAGCAAGTTTGAGGTAAGGCTAGCCTATATAACTAAACCCTGTCTTAAAACAAAACAAAATAAACAAAATAATCCCCCCAAAACTTCACACTAACAGCAACCAAAAAGAAAGTGGTATTACTCTGCTACAGAATACTGTGTAGCAACTGAACATGACTTCAATAATAAAAGATGTCACTAACATTGCTTAAAAGAGGTTGTTAAATGATACATAACAACAGGTAAAACTGTCAGGTGTGGCAGTTCATTCTTATAATCTCAGCAGCACTCAGGAGGCTGAGGTAGGAGGGTCTTGAGTTCAAGGCTAGCATGGGCTACATAGTGAGACCCTGTCTCAAACAAATAAACAAACAAAAAAAAAGCTATACAATGCCAGCCATATTATTTCAACAAATGTTCATACCTACACCCTAAAGTAGGCAACATAAGAACGATCCCTGATTTTGCAATGAGGAAACAGGCTCAGAGAAAGAAGTATCACTTGCCCAATGGTGAGAACTGAGATTCAGACACAAGCCACTACATTCTAATGATTTTCAGCTGAAAATACAAAGCAAAGTCTTGTTTTTGTAAACAAAAAAAGCACACAAATGCTACTTGGGAGGCAGAGATCAGGAGGATCAGTTTTGAAGCCAGTCCTGGGCAAATAGTTCATGAGACCCTATTTTGAAAAACCCTTAACAAAAAAAGGCTGGAGGAATGGCTCAAGTGGTAGAGCACCTGATTAGCAAGCGTGAGGCCCTGAGTTCAAACCCTAGTACTACCAAATTAGTAACGATAATAATAATAAAGTACCAAGGCTTTTAACCTCTGCTCTATACCTTACCAGGAAATGCAAAAGGGAGGGATGAGGGATGTGGCACAGTGCACACAAAACCACCCAACAGATCCTGGCAGGTGATGAGCAGCACTCACTATACTGGATATAGGGGTGGTCACGAGGGATGCGGTCCAGGCTGATGTCGTGCTCCTGCCGCCGGGGTATCTCTGAGTCAGCCATGCGGGGTGACAGGGTGACAATGAGACCCTCTACAAACTTGATGGCATGTGTGCGGATCCCATCATTGTCAGAGTCCAACAGCAGGATGATGTCCCCAGCCATGGCTGATACCATGTCCCAGCAGGCCTCCTGGAGATCATTGATGACCCGTGACTTCACCATCCACTGCCAGAGGACCGGGGATGAAAGAGACAAAGAGGTAGAGACCAGCACATCAATCACTAGCACCTCTACCACCATGGAGACCCACAATGACGATGAGGACAGTCATGTGGTTAACAGTTAGCTGAGTTCCAGTTATGCCCCCAGCTCAGCGCTGAGTAATGCTAGAACAGGACCCAAGCTGACAGGTCTGGCCCTCCATCGATGGGGCTCACAAACATTGAAAACCCAGTGATAAAGTTCCAAATCTTAAGACAAAGCTCACGACGCTGACCTCACAAGATGCTGGTGATGAAATGGCTTTGTTCATTTCACTACCAGCGAACACTACACTATCGTGCGTCCTTGTTATACCACAGGCCATAATCAATCCTTTTCTTTCTTTCTTTTTTTTGTAGTACTGGGGTTGAACCCACAGCCTTGTGCTTGCTAGTCAGGCACTCTACCACTTGAGCCATAACAAGTCCTTTTTTGCTTTGGTTATTTTTCAGATAGGGTCTTGTATTTATGCCAAGGCTGGCCTGGGTGGTGATTCTCCCTCCTATTTACTAAGCCTCTCTGTAGCTGGGATAACAGGTGCTTACCGCCATACCCAGCTTTTATTGATTGAGATGGGGGTCTCATGAACTTTTTGCCCAGGCTGACCTCAAACAGTGACCCTCCTGATCTCTGCTTCTCCAGTAGCTAGGATTACAGGTGTGAGCCACTGTGCCACCTTCTTGTGGTTCACTGCACTGCCAGCACCTGAGCACCATGAAGGCAGGATCCAGTGCATCCTGGCCAGGGCTGTATTCCTGGCATCACAGCATCAGGCTGGGCACAGAGGAGATACTTGGGGAATGTTTGTTGAGTCAATGAGTGGAGGCAGTAAACCCCCTTGTTGTCTGTTCCCATGATCAACAGCACATCTTGCCACAAACAGCATGCCCTGATCCTCCCTGCACAGACGAGTCTGCAGGGAGCCCTGCGCTTATGGAAAGCCTGGGTGAAAGGAGCCCTCACCTGCAGGGCCACCTTGTAGAGCTGGGTCATGGTGAGGATGGCCTTCTTCACCACGTTCACATTCTCATCCCTCAGGAGCATGTTGAGGTTGGCAATCAGTTTCAGCAGCAACTCAATGTCTCGCTTGCTGGGAGATAGAGGAGAAAAGGCAAGGTCAAGGTGCCTTTAGGGCTAGTGGTGGGAACCTGGGGTCCAGGTGGAAAGGGGATCTCAGGACCCATGTCTCAGAGAACCGGAATGGAAGTGGCAGCAGGAAATGCAACTGTCTTGTTTGCCAGCATATCTGGAAGCTGGGAAACATGGATAGCTCTGGTCCGGTATGGGGACCCCCATTCCTTTGCCCTGTCAGGGCTGCGCTATTCACCTAAGCAGCAATAGTGCCAATGAATTTGGGCCACTGACTTCACCTTATTTAGAATAATAGTAACAGTACCTGGGTTGTACAAACTGCATGAGTTCTTAGAACTGACATGTAGGAAGCAGTCAACAGACATGACTGTGACCATAAATGCCACTTGAAACCACTTTGTCACAAGTAGCCACCAGTTTTGTTTACTTAGGTCTGAGGGCTCTGAAAGTGGGGACCCTTTCCTAATGCTGAATACCAGCAAGGAAGGGTGAAATGGTTTCCAGCCGGGTGCAGGCGGCTCACTCTGTAATCCTAGCTACTCAGGAGGATTGAGGTTCAAAGGCAGCTTCAGGCAAATAGTTCACGACCCTATCTCGAAAAAAACCCATCACAAAAAAAGGTTGGTGGAGTGGCTCAAATAGTAAGAGCACCTGACTAGCAAGTGTGAAGCTCTGAGTTAAAACCCCAGTATTACCAAAAAAAAAGAATGAAACGGTCTCCAAGAAATGTTTGGTCAATGAATAAAGAAATTTAAGGCCAACCACTAAAGTTTAGCATGAAAATAGGATTTTCACAGCATGTATTACAATCTGGAATTAAATTGAATCACATCAGCCACATATTGCTAGGCAAGTGCCACCACTTGACCCACAGTCCCAGCACTTTCATTTATATTTTTTGTTTGTTTTTGAGACAGGATGTCACTAACTTAGCCCAGGCTGGCTTTGATCCTCCTGCCACCATGCCACCATACCTGGTCAGTATCTATTTTTATTTACTGCTATATCCCTTCAGCTGGACACAAATGCCTAAAACATAGCAGCTCATAGTACAGATTTACTAAACAAATGGATATTTTGTGAACTCAGAAAATTTATCACAAATTTTCCTAGTAAAGTGGGGAGGATGGCGATTGGAGCCCTGGCATCATAGTCATAGGATAAAATCCTAGCTCGTGTAACCTCTTTTCACATCTCCAGGCCTTAGTTTTATCTTCAACTCAAAGGCTCAAATGATCTGGGCACCAGTGGCTCGTGCCTGTAATCCTTGTTACAAAAGGATCACAGTTCGAGCCAGCTGGACAAACAGTTTGCAAAACCTTATCTTGAAAAAACCCATCACAAAAATGGCTAATGGAGCAGCTCCTCAAGGTACAGGCCGCGAATTCAAACTCCAGTACTGAAGGAAAAAAAAAAAAAAAAAAAGAGGTCAAATGATTAATCCATAGGGTCACGGTGAAGGTCAATAACAAAGTAGGAGCCAGGCACCAGAGACTCACAGCTTAAATCCTAGCTACATGGTGTGGAGATCAGGAGGATCACAATTTGAGGCAAACAGGTCAAGAGACCCCATCTCCAAAATAACCAATGCAAAATGGACTAGAAGAGTGGTTCAAGTGGTGGGGAGTGCCCACTTTGCAAGCACAAAGCCAAGTTCAAACTGCAGTGCTGCCAAAAATAAATAAAACTGAAAAGACAACTAATATTATAAGAATTTCATGTAAGGGAAAATGCTCTGCAAGTGCAAAGTTGAGTTCAAACCCCAGTCCCACAAAAAAAAAAAAAAAGAGCTGAGCGGGAGCCAGAGAGGAAGCCAGTAAGGCCATTCGGGCAAAAGGGAATGGTGGTGTGGAAGTGGCTGGTCAGCCGCTGTACATATCCTGAAATAGGGCTGACAGTCCCTCCTGATGAAGTAGAGGTGAAGTGTGGAGAAGTCAAGGAATCCCAGATACCCCAGGGTTTCGATCTTGTTAGGTACTTCCTGGGGAGCAGGTGTGCATGAAAGAGGCTAATGCCATGGGGGTGGCTCCCAGGGGCTCCCAGTACCAACCCATACCATGCCTCCTCGATGAAGCCGATGACAAACTTTCGCACTTCGATGGACTTGTCTGCTTGGAAAGCGATGATCTCCTGCCAGTGTCAGAGAGAAAGCAGTCAGGCCACACCAGGATCATGCCTTTATCCCTACACCCAGGCCCTTCTCTGCTCTGCTGGACACTCACATCTAGGAAATTGTCCAGGAGTGTGGGGTCTTTGTTGATGATCAGCTCCTGGACCTGGAAGGAGAATTGGGGTGAGGAGGGGGAAAAAACATACCAAATCAGGAGCAACTAATGCAGACCGGAGCTCAGTGGAAAAGAGCATGGGGCTGGACAGCAGAGACTCCGCTCACTTCCTGGCTCTGCCATTCCCTACCTCGGTCCTGGGTACTAGATTCCTCTCTGAGCCTCAATTGGCTATTCTGTTAAATGAGAACGGAAACATCAATTTGCAGGCTGATGTGGGGCTTCAGTGAGACCCACAAGGTGCGGTCCTGCGAGGCAGTGGTACACAGGAAGAGGAGGGAATGCTCGCAGCTCCTACCTTCCTGAGCTTTGGCCTCCTTTCACCTGTCCACTGATTCTCCTACTTCACACTGCCCCATTCAGAAAGTGCCTCACAATAGTGAGACCCATCTGTACCTGAGGCCCTTGTACCTGCAGGCTCTGTGGAGTGAGACCTCCCCACAGACATCCTCCTGTAAGCTGTCATGGCTACACCTCCAGATGTAGGTTGTAGATAGTCTTCACAACCGTGCTGTCAGCACACACCCTACTGCAGAAGTGGAGTTAGCTCCCCAGTGCCACACAATGAGCAAGTAGCAGAACTGGAGTTTTCACCGAGAGCAAGGTTCAAGCAGTAGAGAGTTTGTATCTCTCTCTCTCTCCTCTCTCTCTCTCTCTCTCTCTCTCTCTCACACACACACACACACACACACACACACACACACACACACACACACACAAACACACACACAAAAAGAACTGGACTCTCACCTAGGCAGCCTGATCCCCAGTCTTTGAACTCTGAACTCCGACTGCCTCTTGTTGTGAACCCCCAGCTCCCAACTCCTCACCCTCTCTCTGCCTTTGTGCGCTTCTGTGCCCTCTACTTGAGATCTTCTGCCTTTTGCTTGGTATGCCTCCTTTTCCCTCACTCCCTATGGCTTGGCTCAGATGTCCCCTCCTCCAGAAAGCCTCCTTGATCTCCCCGACCCATCCTGAAACAAGATCAGGAGCCCCTCTGGGCTCCTACAGCCCTCTGGATTTCTCCCTGCCAGTCATGCCACTCTGGGTCATCACTGTCTGGTGGCAGGCATGTCTTCCTCACCCGACTGGACCCTGGCAGAGGACGTGCAAAGATGAGGGCAGAGGCTGGAGAGTCAGAATCCAGAATTCAGCCGGCTGCTCGCAAAGTGGCCTTGGGCTCACTCTAAATCCTAAGGCTTACTTCCTGGTGCAGAGAGTTGGGGGTTCCCCCTCATGGAGTTCTGGGGAGGACTGAACAAGCACAGCTATATGGCACTGAGCTCCCTTGGAAGTACACACTTGTGCAAAGTGTGGGTGCCTGTACTCTTAGCCCAGGATGCCCCTGCCCTCACCTGTTTGAGCACTGTGATCTTTGAGTCATTGGTGATCAGTGCTGCCTGGTTCAGGAGATCCACCACCTGGAAAGAGAGGAGACCAAGTGATGGAGTGAGCCTCGCCAGCCATGATTGTCCCCCACAGCTCTCTCAGGTTTCTGCTACTTCCCCACTCCCAGCCCTCCTCACCACGCTCACCCTCTCTGAGGTGGTCATGCCATCGATGCCTGGCCCTTCCTCTTGTGTGAAAAACTGTGATGCCACGCTCCGGCGGGTGACACTGTCCCCACTGCTGCTTGCCATGGCTGCCATAAGGATCCCCCTGAAAAAGAAGGGGGATCAGTATCCCACTTATGGGTGGGTAGGGTGGACTGCCACCTCAATACCCACAAAGAACTCAGCCGTCCTTCCCAGCCGGGGTGTCTCTGCCCCTCTCCCTGGCTTATGTCCACATCTGATGCAGAAGACAGTCCCAGGGCAAAGGCAGAACCCTCAGCCTCACCTCCAGTCCTTCATATACAGCAGGCTGACCACAAACGCCTGCTGAGCAATGATCAAAAGGACATACAGAGGCCACCTCACTGGCCTCTGGGCTTCCTGTCTATCCAGCTGGGTTGGACCCTGAACAAGACACCAGAGCAAATGTTCTAAAAGAGCAGAGGAACTACAGTCACCAGGCCCTGCACAGAGCAGATGCTTACTCTGTCAGAAAAAGCCTGTTGCAATACATCACATCTCAGACGTTCTCTGGAATATCATGGAACTTTTGAAAAGGGAGGGAGGCAGACTTCTATGCATCTATCATAAAGTCACACCAGCAAAATTAAGAAGGGATTTGTGCAGAAGGCCTTTAATTGCAGCATTATTCTTAATTAGCAAACATCAGAAGCAAACCAGGGAGAATGGTGGAAAAACTATGACACATCCATATAATAAAAGACTACGTAGCAGGGCATAGTGGTGCACAACTGCAGATACAGTACTCAAGAGGCTGAGGCAGAAGGATCCTGAGTTCAAGGCCAGTCTAGGCTACATAGTGAGACCTTATCTCACAAAAATGCAACAAGAGCCCCAGGCACCCTGTAGCTCATTCCTGTAATCCTAGCTACTCAGAAGGCAGAGATCAGGAGGATCGAGGTTTGAAGCCAGCCTGGGCAAATAGTTCTCAAGACATTATCTCAAAAAACGCCGTCTCAAAACAGGGCTGTCGGAGTGGTTCAAGTGGTAAGACTGCCTGCTTAGCAAGTGTGAGGCCTTAGTTCAAACCAAGTGCCGCCAAATACAAACAAACAAAAACTACAACAAAACGTATGCAGCTGTTAAAGGAATGAGAGGAGCCAGGCATGGCTGTGCATGCCTGTAATACCAGAACTTGGGAGACTGAGGCAGGAAGACCTCAAGTTACAGACCAGCATGGGATCCATAGCAAGACCATCTCAAAAAACAACAGCAAAAAGGAATGAGGAAGATCTGTACACATAACAGAAAATGAATATATTACATAAAAACCAGCAGAGTGGAAGACAATGTCTACTATGTACATCCATATCAAATTCTTTTTTTTTTTTTTTGCAGCACGGGGGTTTGAACTCAGGGCTCCACATTTGCTAGGCAGGCTCTGTACCATTTGAGGCACTCCACCAGCCCCATGTATACTCCCTTTTAAGAAAAGAAAGAAGTATGAGCCAGGCATGGTGGAGCATCCCTTTTATCTGTTTGTTTTTGTTTTGGGTGGGCCCGGGGTTTGAACTCTGGGCCTTACACTTGCTAGGCAGGCACTCTACCACTTGAGCACTCTGCCAGCCCGGGGGTTCACACCTGTAATCTCAGGAGGGTGGAGGCAAGAGGATCTTGAGCAAGACTCTGTCTCGAAAACAAAAATACAAATGGCAGAGCACTTGCCTAGCATGGGCACGGCCTGGGCTCAATCTCCAGTACCACCAAAAAAAAAAAAGACATCACATGTATATGTTGAAAAAGAAAAAACCTGAAAGGGTAAACTGAAAAGCAGAAAAGGAAGCAAACAGTAGAAACAGTTCGGCAGATCTCAGGGATGTCCTTGTCAGCCGACACATGCAACATCTGTGATGAACACACAGAATGACCAGAGGGCAGCAAGCGATTTCTCTGGGACTCCCTAATCACTGGGCTCAGTATTTCTGCCCTTTGGCTCTAGGATACTTGGAAAAACAACAGGGTGTGTGTGTGTGTGTGTGTGTGTGTGCCACCTTTTTGTGATGGGTATTTTCCAGATAGGGTCTCTCCAATTGTTTGCCAGGGCTGGCTTCAAACCACGATCCTCCTAATTTCTGCCTCTCTGGTAGCTAGGATTACAGGCGTGAGCCACCAGTGCTGTGCTCCTTTCTTTTTATGTGAGTGTATTCTAGGTTTTCAGCCAGTCTTCCTGCAAAGAATACTGGAGATATTTGAAGTCTTTTTTTTTTTTTAATGATGCTTTTACTGACATATGTTTATGTATTACCTTTTTTTTTTTTTTTTTGGCAGTACCGGGATTTAAACTCAGGGTCTTGTGCTCCATGACTTGAGCCACGCCCCCAGCCCAGGAAGTCTTTTGCTATTAGGAAAAATATCAGTTTCCCCTCCTTCCCAGCGTAGTGGAGGAGTGGACTGCCTCATTCCCACCTGGGAGAATGATCACTCCCTTGTTACCCCCAAAGTGTGGCCCTAGGAGTGTTTTTCATTCATTCAACGAACTTCTAACTGGGCATTTCCAGTGTGATGAGTGCCAAGCTGGGAACACAGTAATAGTGAAGACACATACCCAGTGCGACATGGAGCTCATGTCACAGATATAATCATAGCACACCAATAAAGCTCTAATAACAAATCAGATCACACGTGATAAGAAGGAAAGGCACCGGGACCTATGAGAGCATTTAGCAGGCGGATTTCGGGATGGAGGGCGGGAAAGAAGGATTTGCAGAGGAAGTGACGTCGATGCCGAGACCCGAAGGATGAATGGGGAGTTAGCCAGGCCGAATGGGTAACAGGGCATTGCGGGCTGGGGCCAGCCTGTGCAAAACCCCTGAAGCGGGAAGGCGCATGGCGAGTTTTGGGAACCGAAAGGCCTGTGCAGCTGTGCTAAGTAGAGTTCTAGCAAAGACGCAGGATGAGGACAGGCGAGGCCTTCGGGGCCGACGCGCCAGCGGGGCCACGTTGGAACTTTACCCCGAGGGAACTAGGGAGCCAAGGAAGGGACCTGAGTAGGGGAACAAACCGGAACCCCGAAACCGCGGCTCCCCCTCCTCACTCCGGCACTGCCCCAGCTCGTGCCTCGGCCTGTTTAGGCCCTCCTCCCTTAGCCCCGCGTCCTCACGCCATCTCCCGCTCACCGCGACTCTGGCCTCCGTCCCCCTCGCGCCCCCTCAGCAGCGCCTCTTCGCAGACGCCGCCACCGCCATCTTTCGCCTGCCGCCGTGACACTGCGCACGCGCTGTGATCCTAGGACAGCCGGGAAATGGAGTCCCCACCGCTGCCCTCCCCTATCGCGTGCCTCGCTGGCGGCCTTCCGCCTTCCCCAGGCCGCCGCCGAGGTTGCCTCCATTTCCGGATTTTTCTAGCGCCACGTCTTCTGTGAAATGTAGTCCTCGTTAGAGGCACCGAGCGGAAGTGGGAAGAGAGACTCCTGGGAAATGTAGTTCACCTAGGTCCGGAGTCCCTGGACGGCTCGCTAGCGTCAGCGCGGAAAGTGCCGTGGGTGAAGCTCCTGGATCTTGCAGGTGATCTGTTGTCCTAGAATGATCTAAGCAGAGGCCTTGAGCCTTCCCACCTCTGCTCCTGACCCTAAACACAGTCTGAAGCATTTTCAGCCGTCGTAAGCCTCTGGTCTTCGTGTCCGTCTAAAGAGAATGTGGTTTTAAGCGTCTCTGATCGGTCCTTATAGTGACCTCTAGGCACCCCTCTGTGTCCATACCATTCTGAACCAATCTTCTTCGCGGCAGACATGTTGGGCTTTGGCTTTTTGCCCTCCCAGGTGGAGACGATGAAATCTCTGTGGCAGAAGGACCCTCGAGTTCTGCCCTCGGTGGGGGTCTTCGTTTCCCTAATGTCTGTCCCCTACAGCCCGTCACTTTTTATCCAGGTCCCTCGCGATCCCGCAGGGGGCGCCCCAGTCCGAGCGCGCCGCCCTCGGGGAGGCGGGCGGGGAGCCCGGGGCGGGCGAGGGCGGGGGTGTCCCGGCTATAAAGCGTGGCCGCCTCCCGAGGTGCCTGGGACAGCGGGACCCCGGGCGGCGGGACGGACGGACGGACGGGCGGGCGCGGGTCGGAACTCGCGCCGTGCCCGCCAAGAGATTCAAGCAAGCCCTCGGTTCCCCCGGGGCGAGGGCCGGAGCCGGGGCGGGTGGGGGCGCAGGCCCGGGGGATGCTGGGCTCGGTGAAGATGGAGGCCCATGACCTGGCCGAATGGAGCTACTACCCGGAGGCGGGCGAGGTGTGTGTGGCCTCGGGGATGGGGGAGCGGGAAGTGGGGGGCAGGTATTGGGCTGTGAGTTTATATGGGGGGAGGGATCGAGCTATGGGTTCAAATAGGAGCCAAGGCATCTAGCTGGGGAACTGGGGACAGGGCGACCAGGTGTGGGAGTCAGGGACCAGGGACAAGGCTTGGGAAGCGATGGCTTACAGGGAAGGAAAATTTAAGCAAGGGTCAGGTCATACCTTAAAGGTAAGGACCAGAGTGTTGGAACCCTAAAATCTGAGGGATTAAAATGAACAAGCGGGAAGGTAACAATCAGAGCAACAGGGCAGGCAGGGGACAGAACGTGAAGATTTCAGGAAATAGGGTTCAGAGTGGAGAGGGAAGATAGGGACTGAGAGAAGGGGGAGGGGGTCGTCATTAAGGGAGGTCTGAGTTAGGGCCAGAGCACAATGGTAAAGATGGGGGTTTGCCTGGGGTGGAAATCAAAATTGGGGTTCAGGATTAAGGATCAACTGAAGACTTAAGATAAGTTCGGAAGTGGCGGTGAAGGGGTAAGAGATGGATTTTCTTTGGGGAGGCTGAGATAACAGGTGGCTTAGATATATGGCCACCCAGATGGTGTCAGCCTTGGGGACCTGGAAGCAAGAGATGTGAGCATCAGTTTTTATGGATGGAGTTGATCTTTTACCCTCATCCCTACTGGGACCCTCAGCAGGGAGAGACTCCCCAAGTCATAGGCTGGAGGGTTTCCGCTTGTGTACCTCCTCACTCCCCCATCCAGCAACCGACAGCCATTGCTAAAATCCTGATCCAGCCTCACCTCAGACAAGGCTTCTCCCAGTGAGGGGCCAGGCACAGGACAAATCCTAATTCCTTCACCTCCGGGACAGAAAGTCCTTCCCCAGATCTAACTCCCTCTCTTCTTGCTTCTAGAACCCCTTTGCTTATTCACTCTGTAATCAGTGTGATGTTGGGGAGGTGGGCTTGGGAGGGGGTTTAGATTCTTGGATTCCTAACCTGGAAGGGGACTGTGGTTTTGAGATGGGGGTGTGAGGCTGGAATGCCAGGGCACTGCAAAGAATCATGATCTGATGATTGGGTGTCAGAGTGGAGCAGGGGTCCTGGGTTTTTGTTTTGTTCTTTTTTGTTTTTTTGAGACAGGATCTCACTATGTAGCGCAGGCTGACCTGGAACTTGCTATCTTCCTGCCTCTGCCTACTGGGATTACAGGCGTGTGCTGAGGGCAGGGGTGGCAAGGTGCCCTGGAGAGTCTGGGGTAGGGGCACAGCCCAACTGGGGAAGGAATTAAGAGTGTTGGAGAGGAGGAGGTGAAGTGTTGGAGGGAAGGGGGGAATGCAAAGACCAGGGTGGGAAGTGGAGACTCCCAGCTAGTGGGGGATACCAACTGGACCCCTGGAGAGCTCAGAGACTGAGCACAGGATTTAAGGGGACCAACTACAAATCATTGTTTCTGAGACACATCTTAAGAAAATTGTGGGGGTCTAGATGGGAAGAGTCAATGTTTTGGGTACAGTGTGAACAGAGTTTAGGGACAATTTGTGTGGAAACTGTCAGATCACCTATGATGATCCACTCTGAAAGGGTATGTTTTGGAGAGAGGGTTGGAAGTGGTTTGCAGTTACTGTCTGAGGGTTTCCCTCTCCCTAGCCTTCCAATCAGGTGAGCCCGCCTCTCCTTCTTGTGTCAGAACAATGGTGAGATAAACACTTGTACTGCACCAGCACCTGAGAACCAAACCACTTCTTGTGCACCAAATGCTTCTGCTAGGGTGTGTTGACACCCTGTGACTGCCTCCCTGGAGGGAACTTGGGTTGTGATCAATCGGAGCTGCTCCCACTGACCCAGGTTCCTCCAAATCAACTGGTCCACTTGCTCCCCTATTTTATTGTTTTTTTGGTGGCACTGGAGTTTGAACTCAGGGCCTCACACTTGCTAGACAGGCACTCTAGTGCTTGAGCCACTCTGCCAGGCCTTTTTGTGGGTTTTGGTTTTTTTTTTTTTTTGAGATAGGGTCTCTGTGACCCATCTACCTGGGCTGGCTTCGAACTCCAATCCTCCTGATTTCTGCCTCCTGAGTAGCTGGGATTACAGGCGTGAGCCACTGGCACCTGGCTGCTCCCCTATTTTAGAGCTGGGAACGCTGAAGCCCTGAAGAGTGCTGGGGTCCTCAGGTTGGATCTGAGACCAGAAAGTTGGCTCTGGCTTCTCACAGCCTCCCTCTGCTCCCTGTCACACCCTTCTCCAGAGACAATAAGGAAATAAAAGCTGAGAAATTCCAGCCTCCTGGGTGGGGGTGCAGGTCCCCTGAGGGCTTCCCCCCCAATCTCAGCCCCGCCCTATGGGGGGAGATCCGGTTCAGACCCGGATACCAGGGGTTCATCCCAGCCATGGGGCGTGGGAAAACCTAGGGTGGATTAGAACAGCTGGAGTGTTTGAGGTCAGACCTCAAGGAGGACTTCCGGGTGGGTGGGGAGACAGAAAAGGAGAGCCCTGGGGTCCCAGAGAGCTGCTTGTGTTGCAGGAGTGGGGTGGGTGCAGAGGGATTTAGAAATTCTGTGGCTCCCCCTGAGTCTGTCACTTTCCCTGTCTTCTCTTTATTCTGGGGAGAGGCAGAAACAGCCAACCAGGGAGAAGACTGGGTACAAATGTGGCTCCAAGTTCAATGTGAAACTATGCAGAGATGGAGATGCTGAGGGAAGGGAGCTAAATAGATGCGCTGCAGGGGAGGGGGTGGAGGAGGGGAGGGGGAGAAGGGGGGTGGGGTGCTACCGAGACTGGGGGAAGGAAAAAGGAAGGAGCTGGGTGAGGAGAACGAGAGAAAGACCATGAGGGAGAAGGGGGTAGAAAGGTGGGGAGGTAAGACCTGGAAGGGGAGGAGTACAGAGGCACTGTGACAGGGACAGATGGACAGAGACAAACGGCCAACATAGATTCTAGGAGGAAAGACAGAAAGACAACGTGTAGAGGCCGGTGAAGGAACTCAAGTGTTTTCCTGTGTGGTACAAGTCAGATCTGGGGTTAGTTGCCACCTGTCCCCGGTTCCCTAAGCGTCCCTGGCAGGTTGCTTTTCTTTCTGGGCCTTGGGACCAGCAGACACTTAGAGGGGCAGAGACCAAGAGGGCATTCCCTGACCCACAGCCAAGGCATCCCCAGTGCTGAGACCCCAGCTGGGGGAGGGGGGAGGGCAGGCAGAGCCGGATGGAGGACCGAGCAAGAGAGGCGGGAAGACGGTGCTGTATGTTCTCCTCCATATTCTTCCCCCCTAGACTGTGAGCGCCATGAGGAGAGCTTGTCTTGGGCACCGCTTTTATAGCATGATCCGGGACAGGGATCTAGAGCTCCATTTCCAGGATTTAGAATCCCGGAAAACCTCTCTGGGTCTTCAGTTTGCTCGACTGTAAAATGGGCTCATAAGAGCACCTCCCAGGCTTGGGTGTGACTCGGCAGTAGAGCACTTGCCTAGCATGCACGAGGGCCTGGGTTCCATCCCCGGGGTCTTACAAAGAATAATAAGCAGTAGTGCCAGGCACTGGGGGCTCACGCCTGTAATCCTAGCTACTTAAGAAGCAGAGGTCAGGAGGATCGTGGTTCAAAGCCAGCCTAGGCAAATAGTTCCTGAGACCCTATCTCGAAAAAACCCTTCACAAAAACAGGGCTGGTGGAGTGGCTCAAAGTGAAGGCCCTGAGTTCAAACCCCAGTACCACAGAAAAGAAAAAAATCAGTAATAATGGTAATAAACCTGACGCAGAGTACGTGGCTTATAAATAGGTGGAGAATGGATGGAGAATGTACAAGAAAGTGATTTTGAGAGCACAACAATGTCTTCATGCTTTATCGAGTCCACTTTTTTCCCATATGAACTTTTTTTTTTTTGGCCGAACTGTGGTTTGAACCCAGGGCCTCACACTCGCTAGTCAGGTTCTCTACACATGAGCCACACCCCCAGCCCTTTTTGCCGTAGTTATTTTTTAGGTAGGATCTCAAGTTTTTTGCCCAGGCTGGCCTGGACCTAATCTTCATACTTACACCTCCTGTGTAGCTAGGATCACAGATGCATGCATCCATGCCAGCTCTTTTTTGTTGAGATGGGGTCTCTCTAACTTCCCTGGGGCTGACCTCAAATTGCTGTCCTCCCAGTCTCTGCCTCCTGAGTAGCTGGGATTAGAGGTGTGATTTCTGATCACATTTTTTGATTTATAAAAGCTGATGTTTTTCTTTTTCATGTTTTTGGGAGGGGCAGTACTGGAGTTTTGACTCAGGGCCTCATACTTGCTAGGCAGGTGCTCTACCACTTGAGCCACTCTGCCAGCTTTGAGTGTGTGTGTGTGTGTGTGTGTGTGTGTGTGTGTGTGTGTGTTGGGTATTTTTTGAGATAAGGTCTCATGAACTATTTGCAGGGGCTGGCCTCCAACCACAATCCTTCTGATCTCTGCCTCCTGATCTCTGCCTTCTGAGAAGCTAGGATTACAGGTGTGAGCCACTGGCACCTGGCAAAAACAGATTTTGTTGTTGTTGTTGCTTCCTGGCCTTTTGGCTAAGAGCAAGTGTAAAAACAGCAATTTTTAAACTGGGCACCCTAATATGTGCTACAGTCCCAGCTACTCATGGGGCTGAGGCAGGAGGATTGCCTGATCGCACGAGTTCAAGGCCAGCCTGGGAAACATAGCAAGACCCAGTCTCAATAAAAAAAGAAAAACAAGGGCCGGGGGTGTGGCTCAGGTGATAAAGCGCCTGCCTAACAAGTCAGAGGCCCTGAGTTCAAACCCCATACTACCAAAAAAAAAAAAAAAATCCCAAATCCACAAAAACAACCCAAACCACAAAACAATGATTTTATAACCTAAAAGATTGCTAGACAGCTGCACATGGTGATTAGAGATTATTAGAGATCTGTATTAACTACTTACAAAGTGAGTTTATTAGGTAAGTCAGTTTCTCAACTGATCATAGTAACACCCTGTCTGAAAAAAAAAAAAATCGACTTCTCAGTTATTTTTTGGTCTCAGGACCTCTTTTACGTTATTAAAAATTATTGAAGATCCCAGTTTCTATGGGTGTGGCTTGATGTCTACTGACATTTATTGCATTCAGAAGTAAAACTTGTGAGGCACTGGTGGCTCATACTGTCATCCTAGCTTCTCAGGAGGCAGAGATCTGGAGGATCACAGTTCAAAGCCAGCCCAGACAAATAGTTCCGAGAGACCCCCCATCTCGAAAAACCCTTCACAAAAAAAGGCTGGTGGAGTGGCTCAAGGTGAAGGTCCTGAATTCAAGTCCCAGTACCACAAAAAAAAAGTAGAATTTAAAAAATACTTGAATGTAAAAAATTATTTGTAGTATAACTAGCATCGTTTTTGTTTGTTGTCTGTTTTTGGTGGGACTGGGGTTTGAACTCAGGGCTTCACAGGCACTCTGCTACTTGAGCCACACCTCCAGTCCATTTTTGCTCTGGTTATTTTGGAGATGGGATCTCATGAACTGTTAACCCAGGCTGCCTCAAACCAAGATCCTCCCAATCTCTGGATCCCAAGTAGCTGGGATTACAGACATGAGCCACCAGTGCCTGGCAACTAGTGTGTTTTTATTAAAATAATTATATTTCAAAAATTTAGTTTTGGAGGCTGAGGCAGGAAGATCATGAATGAATTTGAGGTCAGCCTGGGCTACATAGTGAGACCCTATCTCAAAAACAAAAACAAAAAAAAACCCAGAATTTAGTGAGAAGAGTGGCCATGTTTCCATTTTTGCAAGTCGAGTCTGACTGGACACCAGACAGCTAGAGTCTCATAGCTGCTTCCACCTTTGGTCTGTTGCAATATAACATGCCAGGAAGCTTCTGGAAAACTCCACTCCATTTATGAGAGCAAACAAGGCTAATGTTATCTTAGTATGATTTTGAAAAAAAATTTTTTTTCGACAGAGTCTCACTGAGTAGCCTAAGCTGGTCTTGAACTCATGGGATCATAGGCATGCCCCACCATGCCCACCTGAAAAAGGTTTTAATCCAAAAAGGCTTCAAGGAGTCTCCAGGGTGTTCCAGATCACTTTAAGAAATACTTTCAAGAACGCCCTTGAGTGTATGGGAGCATGGGGAAGTGGGAGGGTGCAGCACAGAGTGGGTCTTGCAGGGAGGTGCAATAGATTTTGAGAGACAGCTGTCTTCTGAGAGAGAGGTAACGGTGAGCAGGGCGAGGTATACATAGCTCATACTGCCTAGTGTGATGGGGCATGCCTGTAATCCCAGAACTCAGGAGGCTGAGGCAGGAGAATCACAAGTTCCAGACCAGCCTGGCTTACATAATGAGGCCCTGTCTGAAAAACAAAACAAGGCCAGGTGCTGGTGGCTCATACCTGTAATCCTAGCTACTCAGGAGGGTGAGATCAGGAGGATTGCGGTTTGAAGCCAGAGCAGGCAAATAGTTTGGGAGACCCTATCTCAAAAAACCCACCACAAAAAAGAGCTGGCAGAGTTGCTCAGATGGTAGAGCGCCTGTCTAGCAAGCATGAGGCCCTGAGTTGAAACCCTAGTACAGCAAAACAAAAACGAGAAAGGAGATTTGTAATGATGGAAGGGATTCGGAGAGGAGGCAAGACAGACATACTGTATGGGCCTGTGATCCCTGGTTGACCCACACAGTGGTCACCCACTAATCCTTCTCTCTCCCTTGCTCTCTTTTCAGGTCTACTCTCCAGTAACCCCAGTGCCAACCATGGCCCCTCTCAACTCCTACATGACCTTGAACCCTCTGGGCTCTCCCTACTCTCCTGGGGGGCTCCCTGCGTCACCACTGCCCTCAGGACCCCTGGCGCCCCCAGCCCCAGCTGCACCCCTGGGGCCTACCTTCCCAGGCCTGGGTCCCAGCAGCGGTGGAGGCAGCAGCTCAGGGTTTGGGGGTCCAGGGCCGGGACTGCATGGGAAGGAGATGGCCAAGGGGTACAGGCGGCCCCTGGCCCATGCCAAGCCACCGTATTCTTATATCTCTCTCATCACCATGGCCATCCAGCAGGCACCAGGCAAGATGCTGACCTTGAGTGAGATTTACCAGTGGATCATGGACCTCTTCCCTTATTACCGGGAGAACCAGCAGCGCTGGCAAAACTCCATCCGCCACTCGCTGTCCTTCAATGACTGTTTTGTCAAGGTGGCACGTTCCCCAGACAAGCCAGGCAAGGGTTCCTACTGGGCTCTGCACCCCAGCTCTGGGAACATGTTTGAGAATGGCTGCTACCTTCGTCGCCAGAAGCGCTTCAAGCTGGAGGACAAAGTGAAGAAGGGGAACAGTGAGGCCTCTGCTGCTAGGAACAGCACAGGATTGGTCACCTCAACCACCACCTCTGTTGCCACAGTCACATCACCGCTCCAGCCCCAGCCTCCACCCCCTGAGCCAGAGGCCCAGGGTGGAGAAGAGGTTGGGGCGCTGGACTGTGGCTCCCCCACTTCCTCTACACCCTATTTCACGGGCCTGGAGATTCCTGGGGAATTGAAGCTGGATGCGCCCTACAACTTCAACCACCCTTTCTCCATCAACAATCTGATGTCAGAACAGACACCAGCACCTCCCAAACTGGACGTGGGGTTTGGGGGCTATGGGGCTGACAGTGGGGAGGCTGGGGTGTACTACCAGGGCCTCTATTCCCGCTCGGTGCTCAATGCATCCTAGCAGGGGAGTGAGTGGGAACGTGGTGGTGGGTTTTGGCTGTGGCTCACACCGTCAGACTCTTGGGACCTGATCCTTTCAATGACACTGACAGCCATTGGGCAACATCTTGGGTGCTCTCTTACTGTGAGGACCCATTGGGTGCTGTGAGATCCACCATGGGCATCTTGGTGGGCCCAAGGGGTACCATTGATTGATGCTGTTGTTTGATTCACTGGGGGCTTTGTTAATTGCCATCTGGGCTGACATCTTGATTGGCTCTTTGGGTCCTGTTCTGGGCGTCTTCTTGATTGACCCTTGAATGACATCTTTGACCCACGGAGTGCTATGATCACTTCTTTTCTTGGTGGACTTCTTGGCACAATAGGTGCCAAGTTGTCCACCATCCTACCTGACATCTTTTTTGGCCATTGTATGGTGGTGTGACATGATTGGTGTGCCACTGTGCACCATAGCTCTGTGTTGGCCATGTTGTGGCCATGTCTTTGGTGGGGGGTGGGTGAGGGGTCGAGGTGAGAAGACCCTCTGGTTTTCTCTGCAGTCCATCCCCCACCCAGCTCCAGGAGAAACGAGGAATTGCAGTTCAGGGTGTGGGGATTTCTACTGACGTTAACTTACCTGGGGTGCGGAATCCTGGCTGTGTTTGAACATTAAAAGCACCGTTTCCACCTCTTACTGGATGTGTCTTTTCCTTGCCGGGCCCTCTGTGAGCTGTCCCCTCTCCCTCCTGCCCCCAAGAGTTGGCTGCCTCTGGGGGAAGGGCTGGGGGAGGCATCGACCTGACCTTTGGCTCTTTGCTGTCCCTGACCCCAAGGACAGTTTGTTCATAGATAGCAGCCCCCGCAGTGGTGCAGCCAGGGCAGCAGGGGGAGGTGGCTCTGTGGTGACCAAGGCCATCTCCCAACCCCCACTTTGCAGACATACACCTCTAGCTTTGAGGCTAGAGTTTTAGGGGCTAAGGTGGAGAGGCAGAAAAAGAATAAATGAGTTAATTGGAGGAGTAGAGATGGTGTGTGTGTGTGTGTGTGTGTGTGTGTGTGTGTGTGTGTTAAGAGTTTATCAAAGCCAGGTGCCGGTGGCTCACTCCTGTCATCTTAGCTACTCAGGAGGCCAAGATCAGGAGGATCGTGGTTCAAAACCGGCTCCAGCAAAAAGTTCTTGAGACCCTATCTCAAAAAACCCTTCACAAAAAAAAAAAAAAAAAGGGCTGGTAGAGTGGCTCAAGTGGTAGAGCACCTGCCTATCATGTACTGCCCACTGCCTCCAAGGGTGTGTCTGTCTGTGTGTGTGTGATGACAACCGTGTTGGAAGTCTGCCTGTCATTGTGCATTTTATGTGCATCTCTGGGAGTCATCTTATGTCTTTAAGAGAAAGCATGGAGGCAGGTGTGGTTTTGCACACCTGTAATCCCAGCACTCAGGAGGCTGAGTTAAGAGTATAGTGAGTTCAAGGTCAGCCTGGGCTACACAGTAAGACCCTGTTTTCATCTAAATGGTGGTGGTGGAAGGGATAGTGTTGTGTCTCAAGTGCTAGAGCACCTACCTAGCAAGCATGAGGCCCTAAATTCAAACCCCAGTACCGCAAAAAAAGAAAAAAAGGAAAACACTGTGTGTGTGTAACCTCTTTTCACCTCTCCAAGCCTGTTTTACCTTTAATCAAATGGGCCAAATGACTAATCCATAGTGTCATGTTGAAGGTTCATGACAAAAGTAGGAACTGGGTCCCAGGGCTTCGAGCCTGCAATCCAAGCTGCTTGGGAGGCTTCTTGTTTGAGATAGTCTCCCTATGTATCCTGAATCGGTCTCAAACTTGTAATTTTTTGGGAGGGAAGGGTAAAACTGGGGTTTGAATTTGGGGCTTCACACTTGAAAAGCAGGCACTCTACCGATTGAGCCACACCTCCAGTCTATTTTGCTGTGGTTATTTTGGAGATGGGGGTCTCTTGAACCTGGATCCTCCCTATTTCAGCCTCCCAAGTAGCTAAGATTACAGGTGTGAGCCACCAGCTCCCAGCTCCCTTTTTTTTTTTTCTTGAGACAGGGTCCCACTATGTAGGCCAAGCTGCTGGCCTGGAACTCTCAATCCTGTCTCTACCTCCCAAGTGCTGAGATTACAGGATTGTACTACCATGCCCTGCTCTCTCCTTTTTTCTTAATGTTACCTCTTTCTGTGTCATTCTGTCTGTCACCCTCTGTGCCTTTTTTCTGTTTCTTGGTTTCTCTGAAATGTTTGTGTAATTTCTTCACAGTCTCTTGTATGGTCTCTCTCTGTCTCTCCTTCTTTCTAAGCTTTGTCTCCATCTCTCTGGTCTCTGACTCTTCCTTGCTTGGGGTCTGTCCCCTGCACTCTTTACCTAGATCTCTGGTCCCTCTTCTCTGGCCTCCCTGCCTCTCTCAGCCTCTCCCAGCCTCTCCCAGCTCCCTGAGTTTCTGCCTCTACCTGCCACCTCACTGGCCAGGCCCTCTATTTCTGTCCTTGTGCCCGCCTTGCGGGCTGCTGCGTGTCACCCCCGCCCCCTGCCTTGCTGGCCGTCCCACCAGCCTGGCTGTCCTGGGCAGGCCGGGGAATTCCTCCCGGTTCCTGGAAAAAACAACTGGGCCGAGAGAAAGGCCCTCAGTCTCCCCCAGCACCCGCCCCCTCCCTCGGGCCTGGGGGTCTCGGAGTGGAGTCGGCGGCCCGAGGCAGGAAGCCCTGCGGTTTCTGGCTTCTCCCTGGCGGCCTCCGGATCTGGCCCCCGCCCCCCGGCCAACAGCCCAAATATTATTCTGCAGGAGTCGGTGGCGGCAGGAGGAGGCCCAGGCTGAAAGAGGCTTTCAGGGCCGCCAGGCCTGGGGCTTCCTGTCCCCAGGCTCGGGCCTCAGGCCGCCCCAGTGGGGACCTCAGGTGGCCGGAGGGGCGGGGTGTTGTTGTAGGGTCCTTAGGGGAGGGTGGGGCCATCCTTCAGGGTGTCTGGTGGCCACCAGCTCGGCCCGGCGTGGGCAGGTGTGACCCCCCACCCCAGGGACAGCCGGCTAGTGTCCAGCGTGGAAAAGTACCAGGGTTGGACAGACGTGGGACACATGGACAGATGTGAGGTTGCCAGGGATCAGGGATGGGAGGGGTAGCTGTGGGGACACAGGGAGGCCTGGGGTGACATAGCCATACCCTTTGAATGGGAAACTGAGACCAGGGTGTGTCCCTGCTGTGGGTACAGGGCTGCTGGCCCTGGAAGGCCGTATATAATAATAACTACCAGGTGTGGTGGTACATGCCTGTAGTCTCAGCACTGGGGACGCTGAGGCAGGAGGATAGAGTTCAAGGACAGCCTGAAGCTGGGTGCAGGAGGCTCCTGGCTTTAATCCTAGCCACTCGGGAGGCAGAGATCAGGAGGATCACAGTTTGAAGCCAGACCGGGCAAATAGTTCTTGGGACCTTATCTTGAAAAAAACCCATCACAAAAAAGTGAAAGTGATGGTGGAGTGACTCAAGGTGTAGGTCCTGAGTTCAAACCCCAGTACTGCAAAAAAAAGACAGCCTGGGCTACATAACAAGAAAATGCCCCTCTCTCTCTATATGTGTGTGTATACGTTTATATTCTACAATAATATAATAAAATAATATATATCATTATATAAGTGGATATACACATATATACACGTATATATAATTAAAATGAGGGCGTGACTCAAGTGGTACAGCCACATACAAGGCCCCAAGTTCAATTCCCCAGTACCACCAAAAAATAAATTTTGTAATAATAGAAATATATTTATTTGATTTTTAAGATCGATATATAATCAAAAACCACTTGAGCTCACTGGTGTGTGAACATCCTTCAGGACTGATTGATTCAACCTCTTCACTTCAGTTGGTGAAACTGAGGCACACAGAGGTGGAATGACTTGCCCAAGGTCACACAGCTGGTGACTGGGTGCTAAGTCAGACACAGTCAGAGCCCCTCACCCCCTGCTGTTCTGGAGGGCTCCCCAACTTCCTGCCACAACCTGCTGTGTGTGGGAGGAATGGGAGACACTCACAGAAGCCAGCACCTCTGGGCAGTTTGCAGGGCATAGGTGTGGGTCTGGGTCGTGTTTGTCACAGGGTGTCACTGTGGTGTGGGCTTCTGCGTCACTCCCTGGTGTGTCTTCACTATTCAGGACCACAATGTGTGTGTGCTTGTGTCTCTGTTAGTGTTAATGTGTACAAGTGTATGTGTGTCTCTTCTGTCACTGTCTTCTGCCTGTCTGTCACTGTACATTTTGTCACCATGTCTCTGATGTCACATTTACCTGTCCACATACTTTCTGTGGGTATCACTAGTGGTGTCATGTGTTTCTGTCACTGTGTGTTACAGTGTGACTCTGTCACTGGACCTGTCACTGTGGGTCTGCCCATATCTGTCACTCTGTGTCTGTTTCAGTATGTGTCACCATGTACTAGGTGTCATGGTGTGTGCTACTCACCACCCAGGCCACGGGTGGGCGTGTCGGGCCCACTGGTGCCAGGACTGGGCCCAGCCCATCGCACCCTCACTGCCATGGGCCAGGCCTGGCGCCTGTTAGCAATGCCTGCCCCAGGAAAACAAAATCCGGAACAAGAGGGCACCTCCCTCACCTCTGCTCCCTGCCCCTCAGCCTGTCTCTGTGGGGCTGGACCGCAGCCCACAGACAGTGCCCCTAGCTGGAGACCTGATCACCCTGCACCCTGGTGTCTGTCATCTTCTCTCTTTTTGGGTGGCTCTTGACCTCTCTCTGTTCCTTTCTGTCCTACTTCCTGTCACCTGGGTTTGTCTGTGCTTCTGTCTTTCCCTGAAATGACTATTTTGTCACTGTCCCTTCCTTTTTCTTTCTTCAGTGAAGTTCCATTCTCTGATGTGTCACTGGAATCAGCTACTCCGTGTGCCACTTTCCAATTCTGGGCTCTTTGGGCCAGGCTCTGTCCCTTTCATACCTTGTAAGTGTCTCTCTGTCCATCCATCTCTGTGAGTGGCTGAGTCCCCTGACCCCCGCAGGGGCAGAATCGGCCGTGCCAGGCCCTCAGGGGAGTGTGCGCCCCCAGCCTCCTGCCCAGCCCGCTGGGATATATATAAAGGTATATGTACATATTATTTATACCCATACGGGGGCAGGAGGAACAGACACTGGAGCCTTTGTATAGCTGCTGCCCGCCTGCCCGCCACTCCTCTCCCTTCGTCCCTGCCGCCTGCCCGCCTCCACTCCCCCCGCACACAAAGGTTCCTGTGAGGCCTGCCAGCTTCCTCTGCCCGAGGTGTGAGTGGGCACGCCATGGTGAGGCGGGCAGGGGGGCAGAGGGAGGGGGTCCAGCTCCCGGGAAGCCTTCCGGGTGGCAAGGGTTCTGGAAGAAATGGGACTTCTCCACTGGGCTCCTGTCTGTCTGTCTGTCTACATCTGCTGTCCCTGAGTGTACCCAGGTCCTTAGCTGGCCTCTCCCTGGGGTTCTGTGAGTTCGTCCATCCATCTAGATGAATCTTTATCACTCTGGGTCTCATTCACTCATGCATACACTGTTGTTCCTCTCTGGACCCCTGGCTAGTTTCTTTTTTTTTTTTGGCCATTTTTCTCATTTGCTCCTTCAGTCACTATTTGAAAACTTCCACCTGTTCCCATTAAAACAAAGTCCAAGTCCTTATCATAGCCCACAGCCCCCTGAAGCTCCCTCATGCCTTTGGGTTTTTTTTGTTTGTTTGGCAGTACTGGGGTTTGAACTCAGGGCATCACACTTGCTAGGCAGGCGCTCTACACTTGAGCCACTCCAGCCCTTTTTTGTGATGGTTTTTTTCAAGGAAGGGGCTTGAGAACTATTTGCCCTGGCTGGCTTCAAACCTCGATCGTCCTGATCTCTGCCTCCTGGGTGGCTAGGATTACAGGAGTGAGCCAAAGCATGTGGCTTCAGTTTAATGGTCTTGAATACATACTTCCTGTAACTCTGACCTCATTTTCTATAATTCTCCCCTGTGCAGCAGCTGCTCCAACCACCTGGCTGCTCCTGGGAGTTGGTTCCTACCTCAGGGCCTTTGCGTGTGCTATCCACTCAGCTTCTTACCTCCTTCAGTTTTTAAAGTCACCGCCCCCCTAGCCCTTTGCTAGGTTCCTCTCTAAAATAACCACCTCTATCAGTCTCCATTCCTCTTGCCTGTTTTTAATTATCTTAAGACTCACTGTGTCACAGTTGTCATATTTTTAGGGTGTTTTCTATGAGAGTAGGGGCTTGTATTCCACCCATAGCACCTACCCCTGGGCTTGTCACAAAGAAGATGTTGAATAAACGTTTGTTGAGGGAGAAAAGGGGCCCATTAATCAATGCATCTCTTAAACCAGTCCTGTACTGGGTGATGATACCGGAGACACAGTGATGACCAAGACAGCCCTGGCCCTTAGGAGGCTCACAGTTGCCAGAGAGTGATCCGGATTGAGATGGGCTAGTGTGTGTGTGTGTGTGGGGGGAATCCAGGAGGAATATGGGAGTCCATCAATGGCATCTTATAGAGGCTTGGCAGTCAGGGAGGGCTTCCTGGAGGAAAGCTTCCTAAAGGTATTAGCTGAGCTGAAACCTACAGGAGGAGGAAAAGTGAGCCAGGCCCTGTTCTGATCATTGAGGATCAAGTGACCAGAACAGACCTAGTCTTGCCCTTCTACCTGGAGCTCCCGTACTTTCCCTCCCTCAGGAAACTTTCAAGTTCAAGGACGCCTTCAGTCTTAGTTCCAACCTGAGCCTTTGCCTCATTTATCTCTCCTGTGTGCTCTTGTATTTTATTATTTTTGATGGTAGAGATGGAACACAGAGAGCACACACGCCAGGCAAACAGGCGCTCTCCCGCTTGAGCCACGCCGCCAGACCATTTTGCTCTGGTTATTTTGGAGATGGGGTCTTGAGAACTATTTGCTCAGGCTGGCCTCGAACTTCAATCCTCCCAACCTCAGCCTCCCAAGTAGCTGGGATTCCAGGCATCGCATCCATGTATCTGTCTCTCTCTACCTCTCTGGACATTTCTCCATGGGGTCCACTTTTCTGAGCATCTGTCCTTCCCTCTATCTTGGCTCCCTCAGCTTACAGGCTGTCCACTCAACCAGTCTCTCCTGGGGCCTCCCTGTCTCTTTCAAGGAATTGCATCTCTCCCCTCCCCACCTCTGTTGCTTTCCCCATACCCCCAGGTCCCTGCATCTCCCCTTTCCCTACTCACTGATTCCCAAGTCACCCAGAATCCCTCCACCCTGTCCCCACCCCAGCACTGGGGGAAGGGGGACTGATCCAGCCCCCCACACCCACACAGGTTAGGCCTTATGCTCTGTTAATGGTTAACCTGGCTTCTATCTAGAATACACACTGGCCAGGCTGGGGGTGACTCCCCTGCCCCCCACCCACCTACCAGCTGCTCTTAAAGGACCAGGTGTCCTCCACAGCTCTTGAGCCCCCACTGCAGCATAGGGACCAGGTGTGAGGCCTCCAGCCCTGAGGATTTGGGGGAGGGGGAGATACAGGACATTTGGGTCTGCAGAGCTGGGTCAGGAAGGCCACAGACTTGCCAGGGAGGTGAGGAGGGCCATCTAGCATTTCCCCTGCCTAGTCTTATCGCTTGGGATATTTAATCAGGGGTGTTTTTCCCAGCTCTGCCCAGAACCCAGGCTGGCAGTGCCAGGGGTGGCAGAGCACCTGAGAGCCGACAGGTGGGGGGATGGGACCCCTCAGTCCAAAACCTGAGAACTCCTAACACTTGGAAGTTAGGACATGCGGGTCTGCAGGTGCGGGTGGGACACCTGGGTATCCAAGAGCCTGGACCAGAATATTAAGGTTCTGCAGATGTAGGTGGTGAAACACCTGGGCTCCGGAGATCTGGGCCACCCTTGGGTCTCAACTATCCACGAGCTGTCCTGGGATAGGACACAATCATTCTCCACCTTTCTGGTCACCCATCCTCTGGCCCTGTTGGCTCAGCATTCCCCCTTCCCGTAATCTGCACTTCAGGGTCGCGGGGAGGTCGGGGCTGAGATCCTGGGGCCGCCCCCTCCCTTTAACCCCTGCTTTGCCGCGGCCGGCGCAGGCCCCGCCCCGTGACGCCAGCGAGCAGGAAGTCCTGGTTAATGATCAGTCATCGGGACAGGTGCTGGACAAGGCCGCGCACATCAGAGGCAGCCGCGGGGGGTGGGTGCCTTTTATCCCGCTCGTCTCCGTGTTCTAGGGTGGCCGCCGCTGGGGCTTGTCCCCGAGATGAGCGTCAGGAGCCCAGTTCCGTACCAATCACCTGAAGCTTAAAGAGCCAGGGGTACATCCTATTAGTCCACAGGCAGTCCCTGTGGCGGTATAGCTCTTAATTCTCTAACTACCCGGTCCTTCTAGGAAGCCTCCCTCTGCCTCTTGCCCTTCCCGTGGTGGGCACCGAGTCCTCCACATTTTGGGGAGATGACCTAGAAGACAGGCCAGCTACAGAGGGTAACCTATTCCCGAACTTGTCTGGGGGTTCCCATGCGAGAGCCTTCCCCTCGCTCAGCCTCAGCTCTGCCATCTGGAAAACGGGTCGGTGGTTACCACGGAGAGGGCAGCAGCTGTGAAGACCCGCTAGCGGCCCCGCGTGGGTGAAGGGCGCCACCTGCAGGTTACAACGCAAAGTCCTCTCGCTTGCAGGATCGTTTCAGTCCCACAGGGGGCGCAACATCTCACACAAGTAAGGGACCAAGAAGGAAAAAACCCATCTTTCGATTTATTGAAGGAAAAGGGTGGAAGAGGGCAATAAAATGCTTTTGCTTCGTTTATAAAGAGCGAGTTCTCAGGAGGTTCTCTCAAGGAGGAGGGGGGCACCTCTCCCCCAACTACAAGCAGCAGCAAAGCCAAGCCAAGGAGGGGAGAGGGAAATTGGAGGGGCCTGGGAACCCCAAGCACCCCCTCTGACAGGAGCCACAAGCTTTCTCCCCCCACCCACAATGCATCTACCCCAGGGAACCCATCTGGGTGGAGGAAGGGGTATGTACACAGGTGGGGGTGGCACTGGGGTGGGTTGGGGAGGGAATAATTTATCTGCAACTGTTGGAGGGGGGGCAAAAGGACAAAAGGCAGTAGCCTGGTGGCAATGGTGGCCTTAGGGGTCCCGTTCTTTCTTGACCTTGATGTCTCCAGCAAGGATGGTGGCAATCTCGCCCTGCATGAAGGCCCAGGGGACGGAGGAGCCCACCAGCGGACACTTGTCTCCGCTGGGGCAGTACACCTCTCCCGCCGGGCCCTGCGCCTTGATGAACTCCCGGGAGCAGGGGAAGCAGAACTTGTGTCCGGGCACCGAGGGGCACTGGACGAAGTGGGTGTCTTCCAGCCGCTCCCGGCACAGGGTACAGCACAGGGGGGCCCCGGGGGTGGCCCCTGTGCCGCTACCACCCCCGCTGACAGCCTCTGCCCCCGCGGTGGGGCTGACTTCTGCCTCACCATTGCGGGCCACCAGGCGATGCTGGGTTGGAGGCTGTGTGGTGGAGGAAGCTGCGGGGCTGGCACCTCCAGCACGCACAGAGCCTCCACCCCCACCAGGGTCTTTGGGTGAGTGGCCCAGGGCCTCGGCCACATTCTTCAGGGCGGCAATGGGTGAGGGCACTCCGGGGGTCTCAGTGGAGTACGGGCCGCCGGGTGCCACCCAGTGCCGCTGCTGCTGCTCCTCTGTGGTCATCTTCCCAGCCGCCTCGCCTTCGGGCTCAGGGGAAGCCTTGCGACGGCGCGGTGTGGGCGCCAGGTTCCGGGACGGGGCTCGAGGCGGTGGGCCGCACAGGGCGGCAGGGGTCGGCTCTGGGTACTGCTGGGGCAGAGCTTCTGCAGGTGCAGGCTCGCGGAAGCTGCGGACTCCATCGGTGAGTAACTCGCCCAACTGACGCCATTCGCCCGAACCGTGGCGCCTTTCGTATTCGAGGTACTTGAAGCCGGACGAGGCCAGGGCTTTGCCGGGTTCCCGCAGCGCATCATGAAACATCTGGCGAGCTACAGCCAGGACCCCCGCGTACACATTGCCAGAACCACAGGGGTATTCGGTGAAAAGCTTCAACTCGAACTCGTAGCCTGGAGGACGCGCAGTAGCATCGAAAGCGAACACCCGCCCCACCAGCCCGTGATCTTTCTTGAAGCGGACATTGAAGGGGGCACAGGCAGACAATGCCAATAGCTGTTCCCGCACAGCCTTGGGACGCCCATGCCACTCCTCTGCCCGGCCCCGCATGGCCTCGTTCAGTTCTGCCAGACAGTCTGCATTCCTCTGCTGCTTCTCTTTCTCGAAATCGGAGCCGAAAAGTGGACGGGCAGGACTCAAGCCGGGTGCCAGCGTCAGGGCTCGGCCTCCCAGGCCAGACACCGCAGCTGCCAGCAGCCCGGGGGGCATCAAGCTGGGCATGGAGCCAAGCAAGGCCCTGCGCGCCCCTTCCGCCACGGCCTCCTCGCGGCCCAGCCCATTGGCCAGGCGGGACCCCAGCGTGTACTCCAGGGCGGGAGAGGGCAGAGGGAGGCGGCCCGACGATGTGGCTCTGTCATAGCGGTCCGGGCCCGAGACGCCACCACTGGTCCCCGACGGCTGGGGCTGGGCCTGCGGAGGAGGCAGTTGCGACCCCTGTGCGCCCGCCGCGGCCAGGTCCTTGGTGGTCGGGTGCTTGAGGGCCGGGGGCCCGGGCGAGCGACCCTCGGGAAGCACGTGGCTGCGTTTGAGCTGGCGGGCAGCGTCGATGAGCAACTCGATACGGTCCGCGCCCTCGAAATTCACGCAGCCTCGGCACACGGCCTCGCTGAAATCCCACACCATAGCCCACGGCATCTTGGGCAGGTCGCACAGGTAGCACCACTGGCGGCGGGACGCCTGCACAGACGCCATGACCCCCCGCGCGCGCCCCGCCAGGCCCCTGCCTCACACCCGCCGCCGACGTTCGGTCGGGGCCGCCGACGTTCGATCCGCGTCCCCGGGACGGCGCGAGCCACAGTCTCCGGCCTCGGGATCGGCCTCCCAGCCGGATCCAGGCCCGGCCCCCCTTCCCCGCCCCCTGGGCCCTAAAGCCTTTTTTTTTTTTTTTTTTTTTTTGCTCACTCCCGCCTCCCAGGAAAGGAAAACAGAGGCACGTCGACGTCCCCGCCGGATTCCAGGTACAAGCCGAGGAGCACCGCTCCGGCCCTGAGATGGGCCGCGAGCGCCGTCGCCGCCCCGGGCTCCCGCCGCTCCCGCCGCCGCCGCCGCCGCCGCTGCAACGGCCGTCGCCGCCTCCACCTCCTTCTGCCCCAGAGGCCGCTTCGCAGGGAAAGTTACATAACGCGCTGGCAAAGCCTTCTGGGAAATGTAGTCCCGCCGGGGCCGGCCCTTAAAGGGGACGGCGGGCAGCAGAGGGTGCTCGCCGCCTTTCCAAAACCAGCACAAGCTTCACTAGGTCTAACCACCCGGAGGATAGTTCCGTGCGCTCCTAGCAGCTCCGGCACAGAGTTGGGAGTCGGGATGTGATACGAATGATCAACTAACTGCGGATTCAGGAACAGACAGGGTTAGGGAGTTTGCGATTTTGCTCTTCTTGGCTGTGTAGCTTTAGGTAAAAGTCTGGCCCTCTCTGAGCCTCAGTTTCCCCGCCCATCAAAGGAGGGCCCATGATGCATAAGGAAGGCAACAGCAGCTCCTGCGGCGTCCTGATTGGATGGCAGTAGGCAGAAGGCAACTGAGGGGTGTGTATGTGGGTGTGGGTGTCTACTTGGCACTCTATCCTCCCCTCAGCCCTCCTCCCTCAACCCCCTAGATACTAGCTTCTGGGATTGTCACAGCTGGAGGAAGACAGCCAAGCCCCTACCTCAGTTTCTTCATCTGCTAAAGGAGTGGAGTAACCGGGCTGTCTCCAAACTCTGATCCAACTCTGTTCGCGCGCTTTGGTCTCCAAAGGGTTACACCGTCGGCGTCTCCGCACCTCCCCCCGTTGAACTACAATTCCCAAAATGCTCTGGGGGACGGACGAGCTGACGCACTTCCGCCGTCTGGAAGGTTGGTCGGCGGGGGATTGGGGGGGGTTTCCCCTTTCCCTCTGACCCTCCCCCCGCCAACTTTCTGCGTTGCGAACGCTGGGTTTTGGGGACCCTTAGTATCTATTGCTCAGTTTGGGCCGAGAAGGGGAACTAAAAGATGGCGAGAGGCGGTTGCTCCGGGAAGGCAAACACCAGACCATTTTCCCCAACCTTGGGTGCTTACTACCTGGTGGGCCCAGTCAGGCTTTGGGTTCAAACCCCCATCAGCCCCTCTCTGCTCTCTGGGCCGGGCTCTGTGTTATGCTGTCAAAAATATTTGGCCAGTTTGCATTCCTTTGTGGTTTTCAACATAAGGAGGCCGCCTGCCTCCTCCCATCCGTTGCAGCCACAACAGCGCTGATTTTCTACTGTCTAAAGTTGTGTCAGTTTCAGAATTTTCCTGCCACCTGTATTAACAACACTTTTCTACTTTTATTTTTTTTGAGACAGGGTTTCTCTATGTAGTCCAGGCTGGCCTGGAACTTTTTATTCTCCTGCCATAGCCTCCGGATGCTGGGATTATAAAGATGTACACCACATTGGGTCAGTTTTCTTTCTTGTTAAAAAAGAAAAAAAAATTTTGCCTGATCCTTGGGAATATTATGTTCGTAATTACGGTATTCGTGTACAGCTACCTTTTTTTTTTTTTTCTTTTGGTGTTGGGGATCAAATCCAGGACCTCATGCCCAGATTTGTCTCTACCACTGAGCCACACTCCCACCCCTTAATTTTTGTTGTTTATTAAGACAAAGTTTTGTTATGTAGCTCAGGCTGGCCTCAAACTCGAGATCCTCCTGCCTCAGCCTCCAGAATGCTGGGATTACAGGTGTGAAACACAACTCCTGTCTTTTTTTAAAAACTACAGTGAAAGTTTATTATTCTTGTTCCTGAAAACTTCTTGGGAGTCCTGATGACCTTTCGGCAGCTATCCTTGTATTTGGGTCAGCCATCCAAGCTGCAGTAAAAATTTTTTTTTTTACTGCAGGTAAAACTTTTTTTTTTGTCAAACATGAATTTGAACTCAGGGCTTAGAGCTTGCAAAGCAGGTGCTCTACTGCTCAAGTCACACCTCCAGTCCATCTTGCTCTGGTTATTTTGAAGATGGGCTCTCAGGAGCTATTTCCTGGGCTGGCTTTGAACCATGATTCTTCTGATTGTAGTCTCTCAAAGAGCTGGGATTACAGGTATAGACGTTGGCTGCTTTTATCTATGGCTCTATCTTTACAACACAAGACCTTTTACATGAATACTGATTAAATCTGAAGTTTTGGAAATGTGATTGAATCTAGTGAGAAAAAAAAAAATCCAGTCATTTTGCTCATTTAGAAATCTTCCTTCTGGGGTTGGTGGAGTGGCTCAAGCAATAAGAGCGAGCGCCTGCCTAGCAAGTGTGAGGCCCTGAGTTCAAACCCCAGTGCTGCCAAAAAAAACAAAACCTTCCTTGTGGAGGCTCAAGGGCATGTTGCCAGCATTGGCTCAGCTCTGATGAAGTGGACAGAATCATGTTCTACATTTCAAAAAAAGAATCAGTTCAACCAGGAGTGGGGGTGCACTCTCAGAGTAGCTGAAATAACTACTCTGGAGGCAGAGATTGGGAAGATGGAGGATTGAGCCAGCCCCAGCAAAAAGTTAGCAAGACTCCACCTCAACCAACAGCTGGGCATACTGGTGGACGCCAGTCATCCCAGTACTCCAGAAGCGTAAATAGGAGGATTTCAGTCCAGTCCACCCTGGCAAAAACATTAGAGCATATCCAAAAAAATAACTGAAGGAAAAAAGGGCTGGAGGTATGGCTCAAGTGGTGCAGACAGCCTCATAAGGAGTTCAATTCTAGTACTTACCACCAGAACAAAAAAGTTACAACTATAGAACTATAAAAAGGCTTATGTTGGATTGGCGGAGTGGCTCAAGTGAGAGATCCTGTCTAGCAAGCATGAAGCCCTGAGTTCAAACCCCAGTACTGCCTCCCCACCAAAAAAAAAAAAATGTCTACATCACCTAAAGCTGAGTTCTGGCCAGATTGAAGCTTTGTGTAGAACTGTGTGACCTATGATCAGACTGTGGCCTCAGGCAAGTTCCTATACTCTGAAGACCCCTAAAGTGTGTTTTCTCTTCTTCTTTTTCTTCAGTACTGGGGTTTTGAAATCAGGGCCTTAAGCTTGGCTAGGCAGGCACTCTTCTATTTGAGCCACACCTTCAGCCCTTGTTTGTGTTTTGAAACTGCATTACTTAAAACATTCACCATTCGCTGCTGGGTGCTGACTCCGGCCTGCAGTGCTAGCTACTGGAGAGGCTGAGATCAGTGAGGATGGAAGTTTAAAGGCCAGCTTGGGCAAACAGTTTGCAAGAGCCTACCTCTAATATAAGCTGAGCAAAGTGGACTGGAAGTTTGGCTCAGTGGTAGAAACCTGCTTTGCAAGCTGGAAACTCTGAGTTCAAACCCAGTCCCACCAAAAAAGAAAATTCAACCCTCTTCTGTGCTGAGTAGTGCTGGAACACAGTGGTGACTGAGAAGGGCTCGGGCCTTGCTGTCACAAAGCTCAGTCTGGTGGTGGAGGCAGACATATTTAACTGCTGTGTGTGTGTGTGTGTGTGTGTGTGTGTGTGTGTGTGTGTGTGTTTGGGGGGAGGGGCGGACTGTGTCAGGAAAATCTTTCCTGAGATGGTATTTGCAAAATGAATGAATATTTGAAGGATGACTAAATCCAATTATAGAAAGTAAAGATCCCCAAACCTTTATGTCCATTTTACAGATGAGGATAATGGAGGCCCAGAGGCGTGCACACACACAGTTGGCTAGAGCAGCACCAGGTCTAGTTATTTCATACTTTCCTACCAGGCCTTGCAGGAAGTGTGGGAGTGCAAGAGAATCAGTTCCTGCCTTCCTGAAATTCCGGGGGACACATGCCTTCAACAGATAAAAGACACCACAGGACACCGGAAAAGAGAATCTAAGAGGCAGAGCCATCCCAGCCCTGAGGAGGGGATCCAGGCATTCTCCTGGAGGGGGCTGACATTTAGACTGGTATCCAAACAATGATGAGGAGAAAGGCTTCATCTGAAGACAGGAATTAAAGGTTTTTTCTTTTTTTGAGATAGGATCTGGGTTTCCTTACATAGCCCAGGCTGGCCTTGAGATCCTCCTGTCTCAGCCTCCCAAGTGCTGGCATTACAGAAGTCCACACCACACCTGAGCTAAAGGCTAAATAGATAGCTTTGAGGAAAAGCAAAAAAAAAGGCTGGACAACCATCCAGCAGCCTCCATCCTCAGGAGGGTGTGGCCTGCCCATGGACCGGGTGGGGCAGCGGTAGATGCCCGACTCCCAGGCCTGTCTCAGACAAATCCTCAAGTAATTGTATGAAAAATAAGTTTATTGATATCTTGTCACCACTGAGAACGGAGGGAGTTGAGCTTCAGAGGTCAGAGACATCAAGGGGAGGCGAGGAACCACCCCCTACCTCCCCAGTCAGAACTCCCCCCCTCTCTTCCTGGGCTATATCCTCTGTCATCCATATCTGATTTGTCTAGTGGCCTCCACCCCCTCCAAAGTCTACGTTGGGGAGGTGGGGTGACCCCCATGGGTCAATTCTCTTCAAGTCACGAACAGGAATTGTTAGGGGAAGGGGGATGTGCAGACCCGAGAGGTCCCCTCCCCACCCCGCAAAGGGCGACATTAACAACATAAAATCCATGGCTTAGAATTCAGGGTTCAGGGAGGCAGCCAGGCAGACAGCACTGTACCAGAGAAAGGGGCTGGGGAGACCCATCAGGTTGCTTCCGCAGAGAATCAGGCACTAACTAGCACAGGGAGCGTGCTCACTCCCCTGGAGCAGGGGTGGGGTGCAGCTGGGATGGGCAAGGAGCATGCCCCCCTCGACTGCGCCAAGCTGGGAGAGGGGTGCAGGCAGGAGCGCGGACACTAGTGCATTTCACGGAGATTTCCACCGGCCCCGCCTCTTCCGCGTGGGGAAACCTTTTCTCCTCTTGTGTGGGGGGGAGTCATGGGGAGGGAGTGGGGTTGGGGGTGGCTGAGGCGCCCCTTCCTCACTCCTAGGGCTGATGATCACCCCCCTGGCTGCCACCACGGCCCCATCCACGACAGTAGCCACCACGGACACAGGCTCTGGGATGACCTCCACCTTGGGGGCAGTTGGGGGCAGGATGGGCCCCGGGGGAGGTGGGGGCGGGGGAGGGGGCGGTGGCAGAAGGGGTAGCAGGGCGCTGAGGGCCTCACTCAGCTTGGCCAGTCCCTGCCGAAGGGTGCCAGCCAGCTCCCGGATGGCATTGGCAGTCTCCTGCTGGGCCCGCAGGAAGTCCAGGGAGGGCTCTGGGGCCAAGCGTATGGGCGGAGGCCGAGGAGGCAGGGGCGGGGGGCTGGGGGATGAGGGTGCCACCTGGGCCAGCGATGGGGGTGGCGGGGCAGAGGGTGGTGGAGACAAGGCCAGGCGGGGCAGCTGGACCGTCTGCAGGGCTGGAGGGGGCGGGGACTCACGCTCCTTGGACCGCAGGTAGCCCCCTTCCTGGGCATTGCAGGAGTGCCGGGCCCAGGGCTCTGGGCTGCTGGAGTCTCTCTTGCTGAGGGCTGGTTTATCTGTAGAGAGAGATGAGGTAAGGTATGAATGACCTCACAGTGCCTTTTTTAAAATTTGAGACAGCATCTCCCTACAATTCCCGATTCTCTAGAGTAGATGGGATTATAGACCTGTGCCACCACACTGGGCTTCCAACAACTCTTTCTTTCTCCTTTGCACTTCTCTTCTTCACCTCCCCCTTCTCTAGCCCCAAGGTCATCCTTTTAAAACTTATGTCACATTACGTCTTGGAACAGAAGCTCCCATCAGGTCAGTCTCTGTACGCAGAGGAGAGAGCAGATACATTTAACCTGGTGGCTTACTTCCAGCTTTAATGGAAAGAGGATCCTCGGAAGTTCCCTGCTGAGCTAGGAAGCAGATCTCACTCAGAGTGAGAGCCAAGGTTTCACAAAGCTATGGACACTTGCCCTCACCTCTAAGGCAGTACTGCTGGGCCCCTGGGGGAGGCCTAGGGTCCCTGGAGAGAGGAGGGTGGTTGGAGTGTTGGGAGCACTTATGAAGGCTCTCTCCAACCAGGACAGCAGAAATGTCCCAGTTCACTTGGTCTCTTTTACCTGGGACCTCATCATTCAAACTCATGGACTTGAGCAGTCTACTAGGAGGCACCCAGGCTCCAAGGCCGCCTGAACCTCTCCCTGCCCTGAGTTCCAGCCTGGGCTTTAAACTTATGTGCTCAGAGCTTTGGTTTTTTTGGCAGTAGTAGAAGTTGACCACAGGGCCTTCAACTTGTGAGGCAGGCTCGCTCATGGCTTGAGCCACGCCCCCATCCCTTTTTTGTTTCCTTTTTTTTCTAAGAGGATAGGGTTTCACTTGTATACCCAGGTACACCATGATCTTTCCATCTATGCTTCCCATGGAGCTGGGATGTTAGGAATGTGCCAGCATGCCAGTTCTTTTGTTGGTTGAGATGAGGTCTTGCTAACTTTTTCCCTTGCCTGGCCTGGCCTCAAACCTGGGCCCTCCTGATCTCTGCCTCCTGGGTAGCTAGGATTACAAGTATGAGCCACCTTGCCCAGCTAGAGCTTGATCCACCCCACCTCTCCTTTCTCAGTCACCTGGCCTCAGTGGACGGCAGGTCCAGCCATCCATCCAGATGTGGGAGCTATACCTTCACTCATCTTTTTCTTTCTGAAGACATCATCCAGGTGGCTCTGCTTTCCAATTAAATCCAACACATAGCCTCTTCTCTCTGCCTCCATGTCCCCTTATCTTCCACCTGGACACCTGCAGTCACCTTCTCCCTCGGCTCCCTGCTCTCCTGTCCCCAGTCTCTTCCCCTGGCCTGAGATCCACCTAAAATACAGCCAGGCTCCAGGGGAACAGGTAGTCACTAAGGACCTTGCCTTGCGTGATTCAATGTACATGAAGTGTCCGGTCTAGGTCAGTCTACAGAGACAGAAAGTAGATTGGTGGTTGCCTTAGGTCTGGGAGGAGATGAACAAGGTGGCTTAGAAGTGCTGGCTTTCTTTTGGAACGATGAGAGTGTTCTGAAATAGACAGTACTCTCAGGCCCCTGAGGGTGCACTAAAAGCCACAGAACTGTGTACTTTTAATGGGCGCAGTGGAACTGTATCTCAGTACAGCAGTTTTCAAAAATGCAAATCACAGCCTGGTGCCAGTGGCTCACGCCTGTAATGCTAGCTACTCAGGAGGCAGAGATCAGGGAGGATTTTGGTTCGAAGCCAGCCCCAGACAAATAGTTCCAGAGACCCTATGTCCAAAAAACCCATCACAAGGAAGGGTTGATGGTGTGGCTCAAGGTGTAGGCCCTGAGTTCAAACCCCCTCACCCCAAAAAAAAGAAAAGAAAACCACACATTGTCCTCTGCTCAAAGAAAAAGGGGTCCCATCTCCCTCAGGGCAAAAGAAAAGTGCTTGAGGCCCCCAGGCAGGGCTCTGTAAAACCTGCTCCCATTGCTTCCTTGATCTTACACCCTTCCCACCCCCTCTCCTGGCTCACCAGCTTCTGCCATCTTGCTGGCCCTCAAATGCTCCAGCCTCTGGGCCTTTGTACTTGCTGATTCCTTAGCCTGAGAAGAACTTTCCCCAGACACCTTGCCTGGCTTCCTCCCTCACACCTCTCCCTGGTCTTCAGGCTCAAATGCTGCCTCTTCTTGCCTCCTGGGGAGGACCTTTCTTGGCTGTGGTGTAAAGTAGCTGGAAGCTCTTTCCTTTTCTCTAAGTAATTTCTCACGGCCCACTAGCATTGTTTTCTGTCTCCTCCTCCTAGGTCAGCTCCATCAGATCAGGCTTCATGGCCGTTTACCTAGCACCTAGCACAAAACTTTCTCTTTTTTGGGGGTGGGAGGGGAAGGGATACTGAGGATGATACCTTAGGCCTCATCCAAGGTCCACAAATGCTCTACTACTTGAACCCTTTTGTTTGTATTTTGTTTTTGAGATAGGGTCTCACTAACTGTACCTCGGCTAGACTCTGACTCCACCTCCAGAGTAGCTGAGATTACAAGGGTGCACCACTATGCCCAGCTAAAACCTTTTTCTTCATTGAGAACAGGCCTTCAGAGAGTCAGCATTGCCAGGCCCTTATAGTGGCCATCCCATAGCTCCCTGGCAGCACAGGGAGAGTCCAGCCCCTTCCCACAGCTACAACGCCTCAGTTCTGGCCTCTGTCTCCACTTTCTGTCCTTCTTCCCCAACTAGGGTCCAGCACACATGGTGTTCTTTCTACTAGGTCACACCCCCTCACACTGCCCCTAGGCCAGCTCCAGTGTTCCTCCCTGCCTCTCCTCCTTGGTCAATCAGATTGTCCTGTACTTCCCCTCAAACAGCCACTCACCTCCTGTCTGCCATGCTGGTGGGTCCAGCCTCCCAGACCAGCCTGCCAGGGGAAGCAGATAGTGGAGCAGACAGCTACTGAACCCTCCTGAGTCCTCCCAGCCATTATTGTCACCCCATTCTATAGATGAGGAGCATTGAGGCTCTGAACTGATAAGACAGTAGAAGGGAGTTTTGTTTATTTTTTAATCATTTTTACATTTACTCACATGTTTATACATTGTTTGGGCCACACCCCACCCCAGGTCCCCTTCCTAGAAGGCGAGATTTGAAGCCAGTGTGGCTTCAGAGCAGTTTTTACTTTTATTTATTTACTTTTTTTTTTTTTTTTGGCAATGCTAGGGATAGAACTCATCCTTGCACATGCTAGGCAAGCGCTCTGCCACTGAACTACACTCGCAGTACTGAGCCACTTTTTTTTTTCTTTTTTGTGGGATTGAAGTTTGAACTCAGGGCTTCATGCTGGCAAAGCAGGAACTATTTGCTCTGGCTGGCCACAAACCAGGATCCTCCCAATCTCAGCCTCCCAAGTAGCTAGGATTACAGGTGTGGGCCACTAGCGCCCAGGTGAGCCTTGGTTTTAACCACTCTTTGGGCAGGGGGTATGAGCCTGGGTAGGGGTGGATGTGTGGAATCTCAGAGTCTGATAATTACAGCTATTGAGAAATTTGACTCTTGATAAAAAGCAAGGGAAAGTGGCCCAGCCTTTGCACCCATGGGCCTCACAGGAGTCAGGGAAAAGCCACTACTATTTATTTGAGGCCTCAGTTTCTCCACCTGTAAATAAGGAAATGAGAGCATGGAACCAAATGACCCAATAACAGAACGTCTCCCTGAGGTCCACCATGAGAATTCACTGAGTTACAACAGGTACAGCAGTTAGGACGTTGCTGGGCACATAGTGAACTCTAAAGGTCATTATTTTCTTCCAAATCCTGTATCAGAGATAAAGGGTCCTTAGCTCTTTTTCCAGTGTCAACAAAGGTGTGTTAGGGTGGCCCGGGCCACTTTTCCTCTTTAATCAGTCCAGTTCCCCTTTTGTAAGTTGTATGAGAGTCTAGTTAAGGATACTCTAAACAGGTCCTGCCTCAGGGCCTTTGCACATGCCACTTCCCAGAACTCCACTAGGCTCAATCTCTCCATTCAGGTCTCTGCTTGATTTCACCTTCTCAGAAAAGCCCTCTCCTTGACTACTCTGACCATTAAGCCACCTTCACATCACTCATGACCCTCTTAATGTGCTTTTTTTATGTATGATCTACACTGGAGACTACTTTTTTGTGGTCTGTTATCCCCAAGTACAATATCAGTTCTACAGGACAAGGGGATTTATCTATTTCTCTACAGTATTCCCAGCACCTACGACAGCAACTTGCCTTGAAAGAGGTTCTTGACAAGTATTAATTGAATATTTAACAATATGGTTAAATATGGTTGCACATTTCAGAAAATATAAGCTTGTCATCATTACTCTGGTTCAGTGTGGCCATTTCACAGACAGAAACACTGAGGTTTAATTCAAGATAAGAACAAGTATTGTGGGCTGGCAGAGGGGCTCAAGCAGTAGGAGTGCCTGCCTTGCAAACATGAAGCCCTGAGTTCAAACCCTAGTGCTGCAAATAATAATAAAGCAAAGATTGCACTGGAAGTGTGACTCAAATGATAAAGTACCTGCTTTGCAAGTGCAAAGCTCTGAGTTCAAATTTGAGTCCTGCCAAAAAAGTATCCAAAGTGATTGTGTCTTTCTCCTGCTTGACACCTTCATGACTTCTGAATAACCTCAAGATGCAGTCCAACAACTTGACCTTCACTTACAAGTCACATGTAATCTAATTCTGGCCTACCCACAAACTCTCAGTCAATAGTCAATACTACTTGTTGTTACACGGACTTCCCCTTGTGGTCAAGTCCCCTTTTTTTTTTTTTGCGGCACTGGGGTTTATACTCAGGGTGCTCTTACCACTTGAGCCACTCCTCCAGTTGCCCCTCACTCTTTCATTTACTTGCTGTGTGACCTTGGGTAGGGGATGAGCCTCTCTGAATCATATGATTTTGAACTTACCTTGGGGCATATCCACATACCTCCCTTTCTAAAAAACCCTTTGGTGGCCCCCATAGCACTTACAAAGTCTTCCCCTCGGCCCAGGCCTCAGCATGGGCTGGCTTCTGCCAGTGCCTCTGGACTCTTCTCAGAACACTTGTCCAACCTTTCTGCTCCAACCCCTGCCTCCATGCTATTCGACATGCTGTTCCTTCTGCCAGGATGCCTTTCCCACCTCTACTTCATTCTTACTCTTTGTATGTCAGCTCGGATACTCTCTTCCCCAGGAAGTCCTCCTCCATCTGCCTGGCTGGGTTAGGGTCCTTCTTTGGGCTCCCCCCCATTCTAGGTCTTTCGCTGAGTCCTCCTTGTCTCCCCGACTAGATTGTCCCAGTACAGGGCAGGTATTTAGGGAACAGCCTTAAAGGAAATGATGATAATCAAGAGTTAAGCTAAGCAGGAAGGAAGTCTCTGCAGCCAGCTCTCCATACTTCCTCTACTTGAGGTGTGACCTTGAGATGAGAAATTTACCCCATCTCTCCAAGACTCTGATCTATAAAATAGTAAAATAGCTCCCAGCATTGCTGATGTTTTCAAGAACCATGAGCGCAGGAGATGCTGTATCAACTCACTTAGACTTCACAGCAATCCTTGTAGGTGGAGACTATTTTTATCTCCGTTTTACAGATGCAGAGAGTGACATGCAGTAACTTACAGGGACAGTTAAGGGGCAAAGTTGTGATTGGCGCCCAGGCAGCCTCCCTGCAGCTCTACCCTACACTGCATTTTTTTTTTTTTTTTTTGTGGGACTGGGGTTTGAACTTAGGGCTTCACACTTGCAAAGCAGGCACTCCACAGTCTGAGCCACACCTCCAGTCCATTTTGCTCTGGTTATTTTGTAGCTCTGGGGTGGCGATGTCGCTTGAACTATTTACCCAGGCTGGCCTCGAACCTAGACCCTCCCGATCTCAGTTTCCCAAACAGCTAGGATTACAGTAGGCGCCAGGCTACTACCTACACTGCACTGAATGAAATCTTGCCTGTGCAAAGAACTGACTCTGACACTCGCTAAGCTGTGAGACCTGAAACAAGTCATTTCATTTTTCCGATCTTAACTTCCACAGCTGTGAAATGGGAATATAAGCGCCCACCTCCCGGCGTTGTATTGAGGATCTGATGAGCTACTAAAGGATTTGAACCATGCACAGTATTCCTTGAGGGCAGGATGAAGGAACTCACCTGTCCGTCGGTCCTCGGACAACACATAGCGTTGGGCACAGGCGGTTGGGGCAGGCGGCTGTGAGGAAGGGGGCTCCTCAGCCCCGGCACCTGCCCCTGGCCCTGTCACACCTGGCCCCAGGATGGCGAAGATGGTCTCTTCTTCTGCGGAGAAGGCGTCCTCGGCGGCGGGCCCTGCGCCCTGCGTGGAGTGCGGCACGCGGGCCAGCTTCTCCTTGGTGCGGCGCTTGAAGTCGTTCCAGCGCTTCTGCACCTCCTGGCCGGTGCGCTTCCAGCTGGTGATGCCGTTGATCTTGGCGGCGATGCCATCCCACACGCGCCGCCGCTCGGCCACGCTCACCCGACGGCTCTGCGCGCCATAGAGCTGCGGGTAGTGGGCGCGCACCTCGCGGATCAGGATCTGATTCTCTTCGAAGGAGAAGCGCGGTTTGCGCAGCCGGGTGGTCTCCTCCGCTTCGCCCGCCGCCCCGGCCGCCGAGGCCATGGCGCCCCCCGACGCCGCCGACCGGCCTCCTGCCGCATGGGGGGCGCCGGCGCTGCGGGCAGAGGGTGTATAGCGCTGGCGGGGGCTCGGTGTCCCCGTGTCGCCCCGGCACGGGCTGTTCCTCCGTCCCCTCGGGCAGGGCTGGGGGCGGGGGCGCCGGGCTGCTGGGGAGGTATTCAGAGGTGCCTACTAATTGCTGACACCGGCTGCGTACTCATCTTGTGCTTCTTGCGGCGCAAAGTGCCTCTCCGAGTTGATGGAAATTGGGGGAGGGTCTGGAGGAATGGAGGGAAATAAGGAAAAGTGGCAAGAGAGGAGGTGTCTGCAGGAGTTAGAGGAGAATGGGGGCACAGGGGAATCGGGAAGGGAAGGAGAATGGGGGTGTCTCGGGGGTCGAAGAAACATGGGGGGAAGGAGCTGTTGAAGGGGCGATGCAGCAAGAAGGGGGCATCCAGAGCAGAGCGGGGCTCTGGGGGTTCGGAGGGCAAAGGGGCGTCTCTTAAAATGAATATGAGAAAGGGCCCTGAGAAAGGGGGATGTCCAGGAATAGCAATGAGATGGGGGCTCCAGGGTAAGTGACATAGGCTGGTACTATAAAATATTGGGGATTAGGGTCTGCAGCGATCGTGGGGGCGCTGAGACTGCCAGGAATTAGGGATTGCCCTGGAGATAACGGGCACCCGAGACAGGAAGGGGACAGCGGAGGGTATTTGGGACTGCAGTAAGAGTGAGGGTCGAGGAGGAGGGGGACCGAGTTGGGCCGCAGGTCACTCACCGGCGCCGCCGCAGCCCCCGCCTGTCGGTGGGTCAGGGCTCGGGCTTCTGCGGCCTCTTCCCTCCCCCAGCCCCGCCTGCTCCCTCCCCTCTCTGGGCCCCGCCTCCGGCCGCCCAAGAGCCAAGACGCATGCGCACCTGGCTCCTGTGGGCTCCCGACGCCCAGACAGCCTGGGTTGCATTCCCACCTTTCCACCAAGGCGCAAGCGCAGAATTGCACCCCCGCCGGGTTTTACCAGCAGGCCGCAGCTGCGCAGCCGCAAAGTTAGCGCTGCGCTCATTTCCCGAGCCAGCGGGCGTCACAACTGCGCATGCGCAAGACTCTGCCGTGAGCGTGCGCACTTCTCGCTTTCTGCCGGCTGTGGTACCTAAGACTAGGTCCCAGCCAAAGAGGAAGAGATGCTGGAGGCAGCGCTAGGACCGAGCGGCGTCTCCGCCTTCCGGGAAGCCTTCCAGTCTACTCTGCCCTCCACGCAAAAGTCTTTCTTGTTGGAGAAGGGGGAAGGAGGCAGCGCTGGAGTTGGAAAGCGCTTCGTCTCCATGACGACTGCGTGGGCGGAGCGAAGGGGCATTAGGAAACATGGTTTCCAGCTCCTGTACCCGCCCAAGTACGGGTCCGCCTGGGAACTACCTCCTAAGGGCTGAGGCGGGGCACCCTAGGGATATTCCACCCCGGACAGATGCAGTAACCATAGCAACGCATGAACGTCCCCATCACTTCCTGGAGGTCCTCCGTCCACATCTTTACGTCATGGCTCGGAGAGGGAGTTTAGAGGGAGGAGTTTCTTAGCGAGTATGGAATGTGATCCTGGCCTCTTCTCATTTTAAGCAAAAGCCTGGAGCAGGAAGGAATCTAGAACGCAGGTTAGATGAACTGAATGGCAGGATAATGGAGTTAAGTCTGCTGAGAAATTTGTTTCTTAGCAACCTGCAGGAGGGCTCAAGGTCATTGTCAAGTAGGGCTTCATTCATCTAGTCAACAAATACTTATGAACGTCCATACAGTTCCAGGTGTAATGAACATAAAAGACAAAACTCCCCACCTGCAGTGAACTTACTTTTAAAATAAGATAAGAAGTATAGGTGTGAAGATGGTGTTACAAAGAAAATGGAAGTAGGAAAAGAGGGTTGAGAGGACTGGGGGCTCAAGTGGCAGAACAGGAGTAAGACCCTGCGTTCAAATCCCAGTAGCCTCCCCTAAAAGAGGGGTTGAAAATGGAGGTGTTTGGGGGTGTACGTCATTGGGGGCGGGGCGTTGTCTTCTTTTTGTTTTTTTCACTGTACCCAAGATCAAAACCAGGGCTAGGCAGGCACTCCACCACTGAGCTACACCCCCAACTCCTGTAATTTTAAAATCAGATCACTAGCAGAGGCCTCCCTGAAAAGGTGACATTCAAACTGAAGGAGGTGAGGAAGCATGTGCAGCCAGAGATGACATTGTTTGTGCCTGCTGTATTCTGGGGACACTGATGGGGACAATGGGCCCCAAGTGAAGGGAGCTTGATTGTACCTGATTATTCTGGGTGAGGTGACAGCCCTGTGAGAGCCTGAGTACAGAAAAGTGTGATCTAGCTTTGGCTTTAACTTTGGCTTTAGTGATTCGGGGTGAGGGACAGACTTGAAGGAGCAAAGGTGGAAGCCAGGGTGCGCACTGATGAGGGCCTGTAATGGTTCAGGGGAAAGTTGGTGGTGGGCTGGGATGAGGAATTGGATGTGGGACGTAAGAGAAAGGAAGGTGTTGATGACTGCAATGTTTTTGGCCTGAAGAACCTGAAGGAATGAGCTTCTGGAAATAAAGATGGACAGGGCACAAAGAGGATCAAGAGTTCATGTTCGCCCATTAGTTAAGCAAGTATAAATGTTTGAAATCCAGCCCAGCAAAGAAAACCTGTTTTCACTGGGTGCCGGTGGTTTATGTCTGTAATCCTAGCTATTCAGGAGGCAGAGATCAGGAGGATGGAAGTTCCAAGCCAGTCTGGACAAATACTTCTGGAGACCCCATCTCCAAAATAACCAGAGCAAATTGAACTGGAAGTGTTTCAATCACCTGCTTTGCAAGTGCATGGGTGGAGCAAAGGGGCATCAGGAAAATTGGTTGTTATCTCCTGTACCTGCCCAAGTACAGTCTGCCTGGGAACTATCTCCTATGGTTTGAAACTGTGAGTTCAAATCCCACTAATACAAAAAAAAAAAGTTCAAGACCAGCCTGGGCTGGAGGCTGTCTCAAAATTAAAATACAAACAGAATGGCTGGGAGTGTAGCTAAAGTGTTAGAGCACTTGCCTAGCATGCTTAAGACCCTGAGTTTAATCCCCAGTACTGAAAAAAAAAAAAAAAAGAAACTTGTTGACCTGATTTGTCTGTGTCCAGCCCTTGCCTCTGAGCATCTGATCCAAGGGTCCAGCAGCCTCCTGGAGGCTTCACCTTGGATGTCCCCAGCCACTTTATGTCCTCAGTATCTCCTCTCACTTTTCCTTCCTTCCTGCCTGCCTTCCTTTTTTTGTATTGGGGTTTGAACTCAGGGCCTACACCTTGAGCCACTCCACCAGTCCTTTTTTTTTGTGATGGGTTTTTTCAAGATAGGGTCTCTTGAGTAAAACAGATTAAAAATGCTGGGGATTGTAGCTCAGTGGTAGAGCCCTTGTCTAATATGGCAAGGCCATGGATTCAAACTAGCACCAAAGAGGAGAAAAAAAAAAGGCAGATTCAAAATATCCACTGACTCTGGCACTTTGGCACAGTGGCTCACTCCTGTAATCCTACCTATTCAAGAGGTGGAAATGGGGAGGATCCAGGTTGGAGGCCAGCCAGGGCAAAAAGATGACTGAGACCCCCATCTCAACAAATAAAAAAGCTGAGCATGGTGGTACATGAATGTCATCTCAGAAAAAAAAAAAAAGATAGGGTCTCTCTAACTATTTGCCCAGGCTGGCTTCAAACTGAGATCTTCTGATCTATGCCTCCTGAGTAGCTAGGGTTACAGGCGTGAGCCACTGACACCTGGCCAGCCCTTAGTCTTTTGAGAAAGGCTCTAGATTGTTTTAGGCTGGCCTTGACCTTATGATTCTCCTGTCACTGCCCTCTAAGTGCTAAGATTACACACACGCATAACTACGCCAGCTAATTACATACTGATTGGCTGATATCAGTGCCCCCGCCACTAGAATGTCACTCCAGGAGGGAAGAGATCTATTTTGTTCATCCCTGTTTCTCTGGTGCACCAATAAGTATTTGTGGCACCATCAGATAAAAGAAAGCCTTATACATGCACCATATTGTGTATGTGTGGACTTTCCAGGGATGAACCATATTTTTCAACACCTCTCCAATGGGGTCTGGGAGCCCAAAGTTTAAGAACTACCAAAAGAGCTGGGCATCAGTGGCTCGCACCTGTAATCCTAGCTACTCAAGAGTTAGAGATCAGGTGGATCGAGGTTTGAAGCCAGCCTGGGCATGTAGTTCTGGAGACTCTTATCTCGTGACATGTCTCAAGTGGTAGAGTGCCTGTCTAGCAAACACGAGGCCCTGAGTCTAAATCCCTGCACCACGAAAAAATATAAACAAAAAAAACCAATCAAACAAAAGATCAATCTTAGAATCTCACAGTCTCTTAGGGCAGAAGTGAATCCAGACAGGACATGAAAATCAAATCTGGGGTCACAGTAGAGGCTAAGGAGGAACTTGGAAGCCAGTTGACTTGTGTTGGAGGAGTATAGGGGTTCATGTAGAGAGGAACCCTGGTCCCTATCCTACACAGCTTCCCACTTCCCAGAATTTGGGGGCAAAAACAGCTTCTGGGCACCCTCCCCCAGAAAGAGGTGGTAAGAGGTGGGCCAGGCGAAAAGACCAAAACAGACACGATTTCAAAGACAACTCAAGGCTCTTTATTTGTCAGATCAAAACCTGGGCTCAGTCCCGAGCCTCAAAACCAAACAACTTAAAATCCAACCAGGGCTTTTGTCCCTAAAATAAAATCTAAGCAGTTGCCATTCCAGTCTGGCACTTGAGACCCTCTTTTTGGGAGAACTTCCTTGATTTAACTGTCAGGGTCAAAAAAACAGCAGGCTATCATGATTGGGGAGGTGGTGGTGGCACAAGGACACAGCCCTCACTGGGGGAAGACCCATCAGTGATTTGGGGGTGGGAAGAGCAAAATGGAATGAACAACATGAAAAACACTAGGAGTAGTGAACGGGGTCAGCTCACCCGGAGGCTCTCCCTGAAGCCATGGCACCCCTCCAATGTGGTCCCCGCTTGTCCCCCAGCTTCTGATGGACTGGACAGGGAGGAATGAACCCATGTGGCCCATGCTGAAAGCAGGGATCTGCAGGTATTGAAGAATGTGGAGAAGGATGGTCACAGGTCAATGTCCCACGTTCAAGTTCTTGGGTGTGGGGGCGTGCAGGACAGTCTTGTTCACAGTCTCTAAATTCTGAGGGCTGGCCTGGCACAGCACGCATCCCCAAAGATGTAGTCCAGCAGCTGAGAAAGTGGAAGTAGCATGGCTCGTGTCACCAGCAATTCCCAGAAGGGCTGAAGTTCTATGAACGGTGGCCCAGAGGGAGCCACAGGGGTGTGTGGTCCACTCCGCAGGACTCTCGCTGCTCTGAGAATCCCCGAGGACAGGCTGGCCTGGCTGCCCGCAGTCATTATAGTGTTTCAGGATCCAACCAGGATGGAGTGCTGGGGACCACAGATCCCAAAGAACTGGGTGAATGAAGGGGAAGGGTAAAGGTGAGGGTGGGTGGTGGACACCTCTTGGTCCTCAGCGTTTGACCTTGCGGCCAGCCGAATTGCGTCCACTTCGACGGTACAAAGACTGCTGGCTGCCATTCAATGGACAGTACTTGAGGGTGTGGGCCTGGTCCCCCGTGGCCCCACACAGGGGACACACATAGTGTCTCAGGATGGGACACAACACCACACCCTCTGGGGTCTTCAGCTGGTGTGAGGAGTAGACATGGCGGGACTCCCCATTGTGTTTGCAGAAGTTGCAAAGGGTGGTCAGGCCCCCCGTGGCCCCCGGCCCTTGATCCTGCCTCAGCTGGGGCAAGGGTCTGGGCTCCTCCATCTCCATGACCTCCAGCCTTTGGCTTCGACTCTGGATCAGCGCCAGCACCACCTGACTCAGGTTGAAGTAGTCCTTCCACATGTCAAAGGGTGGCAGCTCCATGGGCACGGGAGAGAGACTGGGGGTGGGGGATCAGTGGGCAGGAGTAGCAGGTGTTTTGTGGAGCATAGAGGAGCTGCACCCCCTTTTTATACTCCCCATACACCTTTCTAAGCAAAGGTGGAGCTTAGGATTTAAAGGGCCCACCCCCAGCCCATGACCCCTATCTCCCACAGAGATGGAGAAGGTGGTCATTTCCATGGTCACCCTGCCTCCAAGGTGCTCTGTGCCCTCTGGAAAGACCCTTTACTCCCTGAGCCTCAGTTTCCCTTCTGTTCAGTTTAGGTTCATGGCTGTAAATGCCCCACCCCCACCCCAAATCCTCCCTTTCCCCAAGGTGAGAGGGGTTGCTCTGTCTGTGTACTTTGGAGTCATGCCTAAACTTCAGAAAAGCTCATGTTAAGATGTAAAGCAGATGCTGTGCCAGCTACCTGCACGATCTGACTTAATCCTTGCAACAATGGCAAGAGGGAACAGTTACGGTCCCATTATTGTACACGAGTAACAGATGCCACACAGCATGCTCGTGGCAGAACTGTCTCTGTGGGATGCCAAAGCAAGTCCTCCTTGAGCTATATATATATATTTATTTTCCCCCCAGTGGAACTTGGGCTTGAACTTAGGGCTTCACACTTGCAAAGCAGGCCCACTCACTACTGCTTGAGACACACCGCCAGTCCATTTTGCTCTGGTTATTTTGCAAATGGGGTCTCTCGAACTATTTGCCCATGCTGGTCTCCAACCTTGATCCTCCCAATCTCAGTCTCTCAAGTAGTGTTTCATGTCCTAAAAAAGAGCTGCATTTGTGTGTATCTGTGTGTGCACATTCACACGTGTGCTGGGGACTAAGCCACTGCTAAGTGTGCATTCCATCACTTAGTCATATTCTTAGCACCAGGAAGAGTCACCTATTGGATAAATATTTATTGTGTACATACTACAGTTTCCAGTCCTTTATTTATTTTTATTTTTTTGGTGGTACTGAGGTTTGAACTTGGGGCCTCACACTTACTTGGCAGGTGCTCTACCACTTGAGTCACTCTGCCGGCCCTGGTTTCCAGTCCTTTATCAACATGAGCTCTCTGAACCTTGTAATCACTCTAGGAGGTGGGTACAATCGTTTCTATTTTACAGAGGAGGATAAGAGGCTCAGAGAGGCCAAAGAATGTACTCAAGGTCACACAGCAGGGAAATGGCAAAGTGGTTTGACTCCAGAGACTGGAAATCAATGTTAGTAGTGGCAGGGGACCTTGCAGTGAGTTGAGCACAAACCCACCGACAGCTTGTGGAGGGGACAGTATTGTGGGGAAGTGCTCAGCGAACAGCTCCAGGTTCAAACGTGGCTGCTAACGTAGCCATGGACTGCTAACTTAGCTTCTCCCAGCCTTAGTTTCCCCATCTGTCATTTGAGGATGATGTAAGCACCTGCCCCAGAGCAGAGACTGCAGTTGTGGTATGAGCAAGGTCCTGGGTTCGAGTTCCAACACTGACAAAAATCAAGCAACCTGAAAAGTCCCATTGTACAGGTAAGCAAAAGGAGGGAGGGGCTGAAGGGCTTGTCAAAGCCACATGGATAGTCGGTGGTGGGCTGGAGTGCAAACAGGGCTGCTGTCCAAACCCAGACATCCTCCTGTCCCATGTGAGCCTGCTGTGGGCCAAGTGTAAGTGGTTTAAGGAAAGAACTGAGCCTGGGACACTTGCCAGGTGCAGGCACAGGCTTGAATGGGGTACCAGATGTCTATCCATGGACATTCTCAAAGGACAACCGGACCCTAGGCTGCTCCTGGAAGTGGGGGAACTACGGTGGGCATGAGGTCTCTGTGTCAAGTGCTTAGTATACAGTCAAGGCAGTGCCACTCACCGAAAAGGGGTGTGTGGGGGAACAGCCTGGCTTGAGTCACGATCACTGCTGCTGTAACAATGACTTACGGAGAGTGGAGAGGGGTGGGACATGGGGGACAGTGGCATGGTGTTTCCAGATTCCTAGAATTTTTTGCCTTTAAAAATTGCACCTGTTGATTGAAGAATCCCAGATTCTATTTTTTTCTTTTTCCTCTTGATTATTTATTTATTTATTTCTCCTAATTCTTTTAAGTGTCTTGTTATTTGGCCCTAGCTACCCTTCCTCCTCCTCCGCTGTTTTTGGGATGAGTTGTTGAAGGACCCACCTCTTCAGATAAGCGCTGTTCCTTGGGGTGGTCGCCATAGAGCCAAAGCCCCAGGTGATACTGACCAGAAACTCACCAGCCTGGGTGTTTACTGGTCAGAGCCCCCGCCCCCGCCCCCGCCCGGCCACGCCCACTCTGCTGACCCGCTGTTTACTGGTGAGTTTCCTTCTCCACCTGATCCTAGAAAACAGGCATGGGGTGGGGGGCTTCAGAGAGGGGCAGAGGGGCAAGGGTGAGAAATCCTAAGAACAGGGAGAGACACTTGGTAGGGAGATCTCACAGAGACAGGGACATTCATGATGCCCAGACCAAGACAGGGGAAAGAGACCCCCCCAGGGCCAATGAGGAGTTGGTCCTTGTCACTGTCTGTGTTTGCGTGCTTGCCAAGTAATCTGGTTATAGTCCCTTTTTACAGAGCAAAAATATTCAGTCTCAGAGATGTGACATATCTCATCCGTGTCAAAGCCATGTCTTCAGCCAGAGGAGGGACATGGAGGGAACAGAGAATGAGGCAGGCGGCAGGAGAGAAGAGAAAAAACAGGTGATATGTGACCTCCTGGTTGGGAATGTGGCCACTGCAGGCCTCATGTCAGGCCTGGTCCAATCTTGGTTCTGCCCCTTCTTGCCATGTGGCTTTGAGCAAATGACGTCCCTCTCTAGCCTGTTGTCTACCTGTGTCCGTCCCGCCTCCCCCTCAGAGGACTTACAGAAGGTCAACGTTGGACAAATGTGCAAGTGAATGAACAAATGTTAAGCTAAAGACTTTGGACTATGGCTTAGTGAGGTGGCTCATACCTGTAATTTCAGCTGCTCAGGAGGCAGAGAGGATTGAGGTTTGAGGCAAGTGGGGACAAAAAGTTATTGAGACCCCATCTCTGTCAATAGACCAGGTGTATGGCACTGCCTGTCATCCCAGCTATGTGGGAGTTGTAAGTAGGAGGATCACAGTCCAGACCTGACCTGGCAAAAATGTGAGATCCCATCGGAAAAATAGCCAAAACCAAAAAAGACTGTGGATATGACACAAGTGGCAGAGGGCTTGCCTAGCAAGAGGCCCTGAGTTCAAACCCCAGGCCCCCGACACCACCACCACAAAAAAAAAAAACAAAAACAAAACAAAGACTGGAGTAGGTGCTGAGTACAGGCACTTCCTTGGGAGCCAAGGAAGGTTTGTAAGCAAGAGAGGACAATGGTCATATCTGAGCTTCCTTTTTTTCTGGGTTTTCCCATGCACTGCCCTTTCATGAAGCACATTCCAGCCTACTAGCTCCCACTTCATACTTCAGCTCAGATGTCCCCTCCTCCAGGAAGCCCTCTGTGGCTTCCAGACTAGGTCAGTCTGCACACTCTGGGTTGTCTCTGGCTTCCTCCACAAGACTAAGAGCTCCATGAGGCCAGGGTAAAGAGTGTTTCAACTTCTCCAGCCTCATCTATTTTTTTTTGGCAGTACTGGAGTTTGAACTCAGGGCCTCACACTTGCTAGGCAGGTGCTCTACCACTTGAACCACTCCTCCAGCACTCCAGTCTCATCTTTTTTACTGTAGTCTCATCTGTTTTACTGCAGCCATCCATATCTCCTAGACAGAGCAAAATGAAATGGACCAAGGTGGAGATGGAGAACCTGGAGAGGAGGAGGTGTATGGGAATTTGGGCTGTGATTACAATGCAGCTTTTCATGAGTCTGGTATATAATTTTGGTGCCATGATAGAACTCAGGGCTTCCCACATTCTAGGCAAGTTCTCTGTTACTGAGCCACATCTCCGGGCCTAGAGTTTTTCTTTCTTTCTTTCATTTTCTCTAACATTTTTAATTCTCTCTCTCTCTCTCAAGGACTAACTATTTGTGTGTGGAAAGGAAAAAAAGGTAACTTTCGAGGGAACAGACCTGGCAGAGTCTATCTCAACCAAGCAATCCAGTTTTACATGTTCAAACCTGGCACCAGTGCTTCATATCTGTAATCCTAGCTACTCAGGAGGCAGACATTAGGAGGATTGAGGTTTGAGGCCATCCAAAGGTGCCCCTCCCCCAAAAAAGGGAGACCCTATCTCAAAAATATATCCAACACGAAAAAGGACTGGCAGAGTGGCTCAAGTGGTAAAACGTCTGCTTAAAAAGGCTAAGGCCCTGAGTTCAAAACCCAGAACTGGAAAAAAAAAAGAGGGTTATATGTTCAGTGATGAAACGTCAACACCATCTACCCTTGATATGAAAATGGCACCTTGTCTTGGTATTTTCTTCCAAATCCATAGCTCCAGTCTAATCACAAGAAAGCCTTGGACAAACTCAAATCGGGGGCATCCTACAAAATATATTCTGTAACAGTGTGCACTTTAAAAGTGTTGAGGTAAGGCCAGGTGTGGTGGTGCACTTCTCTAATTCCAGCTACTCAGGAGGCAGAGGTAGGAGGATCTAGAGTTCCACACCAGCTCAGGCAAAGTTATTGACCCCACTACTCAGGAGGCAGAGATCAGGGGGATCGAGGTTCGAAGCCATCCTGGGCAAATAGCTTATGAGACCCTATCTCGAAAATACCTAACACACACAAAAAAAGGGTTGGTGGAGTGGCTCAAGGTGAAGGCCCTAAATTCAAGCCCCAGTACCACACACACACACACACACACACACACACACACACACACACACACAAAAATAATGTCAGGCTGCAGGTTCAGCCCAGTGGTAGGGCACTGGCATAGTTTGTGGATGACCTGGGTTTGAGACCTATCACCACAAAACCCAACGTAACTCCCAGTGTCAGCTGGGTGCTGATGGCTCATGCCTGTAATCCTAGCTACTTGGGAGGTTGGGATTGGGAGGCTCAAGGTTCAAAGTCA